GATGAAGTCCTTTGTATATTTTAACATATTTGACCCCTGTGACCTTGAAAGTGGGCCAAGGTCATTCATTTGAACAAACTTTGTAGGGCTCCATGCCAGCATGCTATGGGCCAAGTATTAGCCCCCTAGGCCTTCTAGTATTTGAGAAGTTATTTAAAGATTTTGACATATTTGACCCCTGTGACCTTGAAAGTTGTTCAAGGTCATTCATTTAAACAAACTTGATAGCCCTTCATCCCAGCATGCCACAGGCACAATATCAGCAATCTGAGCCTTTTGGTTATTGAGAAGAAGTTGTTTAAAGATTTTAACATATTTGACCCCTGTGACCTTTAAAATGGGTCAAAGTCATTCATTTGAACAAACTTGGTAGTCCTTCATCCCAGCATGTCACAGGCCCAATATCTACCTCTGAGCCTTTTGGTTAATGAGAAGAAGTTGTTTAAAGATTTTAACATATTTGACCCCTGTGACCTTTAAAGTGGGTCAAGGTCATTCATTTGAACAAACTTGGTAGAGCTCCATGCCAGTATCCTCTGTGCCAAGTATTAGCCCCCTAGACCTTCTAGTATTTGAGAAGAAGTCGTTTGAATGAAAAGTTTACGGACGGCGCACGGCGGACGACGACGGACGAAGCATGATGACTATAGAAGGGTCCGATGACCTAAAAAGGTAACAGTAATATTTTATATTAATTATGTGATGGTGTAGTATATATTCAAAACTAGATAAATTGGCTCTGAATTTACGTAACAAGTAATAAAAGTCTTCAGGAGGGGCATGCGTTAATTTGTATATGGTGGTTCTTTACTTGTAAAAATATAACCTGTCTGATGGTTCTGAACAAATGTAAGGCAATATTTCAAGTAATATTTAAAGGAGGTAAGGTTATCTACTGTTCCAAACTTCAGAGCTACATTTGTAAACAACAGGATGGTACAAGAAAAATCACAGAACTTTATCTGTGACCTTGAAAGTATGTCAAGGTCAACTCTTTTTGAAATATGTCAAGTGTCTCCTCTCTTTGAAACTATATCAAATATACAATATTTGCAAACTTTGGATCACAAGTCACTCAAAGAAATGCAGTATTATCCCATATTCCCCACAAACATTTTGTGCTGGGCTACATGGAATGTAGATTTTTACTTTCTATTAAAACTTTTGGGACAACATCTGTCAAGTTACCGCAGAAAAGGGAGCGACCAATTCCAGATAACTTTATTTGCTACCTGGCTTCTCAGCTAGTTAAGTATTTTTAGCCTAGATACAGACAATGGACATGGTTTACAACTAAAACTTGAAATTATTTAAATATCATTAGATGTTTTAACATTTTAAGCCGTTATCGTAATAAAACTAGTGTGAATAAGTAATTACAACACAATATTGATAAATGTTTCTCATGTTCGAATCATCAAATATTTCCCCATTTTTTTTTTTTTTTTTTATTTTTCTTTGAAACTTAAAGGCAGTACAACTAGCTCTAATTCAATATATTGCCTTCTGATGTACAGATCATATGGTACTTTCAAATTATCCACACAATGGTTGCTGGCCAAGCAGAGCAGGTGGGATATGTGGAAATACTAGTTTCATTTGTAATAGTTTCAGCCTACTTCAATATCATGTTTATTATAAAACTTGTTATCTAATTCTTTGTTGTCTGATGATAGACTCTTCATTAAAAATTGATAAAATGTTCTGATCAATAAAAGAACAAAGAAATGTATACAATTTAAATATTTATTCTTTAACGTGCATTTCAAATTTTAGTACAAATTATCATTTGAAATAAAACCTAAAAAAGCACCATGTTAATTTGTAACAGTAAACTTTCAAACATCAGAACAGGCTGGTTACTACAAATAAATACAGTTTATATACCAATCGGGTATTAACAATAGCATATACTGTACATGTTTGTATGAACTGTATGTAAAATGACAACTAAATACATTTAAATTAAGTTTAACAGACTTTATCTTTCTTGCAGTACTTTTTTAACCTATATTATTATCAATTACTGTAAACAGTTGGTAATTTTTTAAAGGTTACACAATATAGATATTACAGTGAAAACCATGTTTATATACAACACGTCATCAAATTATCTATATTTTATCTACAGTACAAAGTAGATAAAAATTGTGTTCTTACCCAACGCTGTAACTGTATTGAAAATCAAACATCATTAGTCAATTACATGTTTTTGACAAATTTAAGCAGCGGAAATTCCATATAAAGCCATTTCTTTTCCCCCTAAAGACTTGCTCCTTACTTCAGTCTATCAATAAAAATAACTTTCAGATTAGAAAACCTGAAACCTGTTCTGAAGTGACAGACATATCACGCCTTTAGCAAATTAGTTACAACTTCGGCTAATTATCATAACTTAAATCGTGCAATACCTATAGCACAAACACAGCACGCGACTAACAATCGGTGATCCATGAGGGTGAAACGTGATATTTTGTTGATTTCATTGGAAAGTACAGACATTCTATTTATATCGGATGATTCATGAGTAGGTGTAAGGCATTCAATAATGACATCACTTACTGAAAGAATCATCAGGCAAGTGTTAAGATCACAAAAAAGTCATTCAATAGCAAGCACAGCCTATGGGGGAGGGCATAGTAACGAGTCCTTGCTACACTACAATGTCTGCATCGCGCTGTCCAACATGCATTGTCATTATCGGGCGCATTCGTTACGTCAGAGCTCGTCTACAGTACGTCTGCCGCAATGAGCATTTTAATAATATCCCGTATATAATCACCAAAATGCCGAACATAACGGCCAAAAATATTGCCAAAAGTCGAGACGGGCACAAACCAAATATTTGCATGGACACTCTTTTTATCTTATTAAGTCAAAGATGTCGTGTACGAGTCTCGGATTTACGCTCAACATTCTGTTGGCAAACTCCGAAACTCGTTGAGTTTTCTTCAACCATAGGCAACATCTAACGTGCGGGACAGATATCGGCCACCACAGCTCATACTTACAATTGCACCATCTACAACAATAATCTTCGGACGTCTTCCTGCATGTGTTTTCACGGCGAAATGTACACCATGGGATTTCATTATGGCGGTAAACTATGTAAATAATAAAGCAACTACTTGACCAATCATATTGCGGTTGTTAGAAGGTCACAGGGTTATAGAATCATCTGGGGTACCAGAGAGGGGAATCGCTGAGTTTAACAAAGAGACTTGGATAAGTTCAGACATAGACGTATATATCACATATATATGTCTCTGGTCCAGAGAAGATTTTTTTTTTTTGAAAAGGGATGTTTTTCTTATTTCTTATCGTAGAAATGCATTCAATTTTAAAACGTTAATGTATGGATAAATATGAGCATGAATTTTATGTAATATGTTTTGAAATCTGCCAGGAACCTGTGGGTTCACTGATGGGGTAGATGACACTTTTTTTGTCTTTAGTTCATATTTTTGCCCTAATTTTATTGAGTTTGAATTTTCGTGTTGTTTTTTCTAGATACTTTTTTCAGTTTGTTTAATTGTGAAACAAATGGTCACAACCACACAATGGCAAACTCGCTAGTTAAGAACAGGGAGGAAGAGGCCTTGGAATTTAATCACATTTCGGAAATTCTCAGTCTTTTAAAATAAACAAAGAAAACACCTTCATGTCAAGAGAATCTTGTTCAAACTTCAATTTGACGAAGCTAAGGCAAAATGAGAATAAAAGAAAGATCTACACGGAGACTTCTGAGAAGAACAAGGAGGAGATTGTTTCATACCTGCAATGTTTATCTATGTTATAAATATTGATAAAAAAATATGAAATATAAATTGTTTGTGTCCTAGAAATGACGTGAAGTCAACAACATTTAAAACATTATGGATATTTGTATTTTTTAGGTAAGCTGACATATGTGTAGTTGCCCATAATTTCAACAAGAGTTCCTCGGAACTGTATGTGTCGCCTGCATAAAGTGTCACAGTCACCCAGAAATCGAACTGGATGTGCAACGTTCAACTATAAACTTATAATACCAAATTTCATTTCTATAATTCGAAGCATAAAGGGAAAACTGCGCAAAGCAATATTCCTGAGGAATTTTCCAAATTCAAAGGGACATATCACTGCCAAGAAAGCAGTGAATCGAACCTTATCTGTAATGATTGACCATGAAACCATCCATTTGGAGAACTTTCAAAGGGTTTACAGACAGCCAGGAATCAAAAAGTACCCTTCCAGCAAGAAGCCATCTACCAAATTTCATTTCTATAACTTAAAGCATAAAGGAAAAAAAAATATTCTTGGAGAACTTTCAAAGGGACATATCACTGCCAAGAAGGGTTACAGACAGCCAGGAATCAAACTTAATCTGTACCCTTCCAGCAAGAAGCCATCTACCAAATTTCATTTCTGTAACTCAAAGCATAACCAAAGAAAGTCCAGAAAACAATATTCCCTTTTTCCCAGAGAATTTTCTAAGTTCAAAGGGGCATAACTGCCAAGAAGGGTTACAGACAGCCAGGAATCAAACTTAATCTGTACCCTTCCAGCAAGAAGCCATATACCAAATTTCATTTCTATAACTCAAAGCATAACCAAAGAAAGTCCAGAAAACAATATTCCCTTTTTCCCAGAGAATTTTCTAAGTTCAAAGGGGCGTAACTCTGCCAAAAAGGGTCACGGACAGCCGGGAATCAAACTTAATCTGTGACCTTGCAACAAGAAGCCATATACCAAATTTCATTCTGATAACTCAAAGCATAAGCAAAAAAAGTCTGGAAAACTTTCGTGCCGACGCTCAACAACTGACAAAGTGATTCCTAAGGGTCCGCCAGCTCTGCAGTCGACACAAAAACAGGCATGCCTGCTATATATATTAAAAGTAATAATTAGGAAACTAAAAGTTCAAATGACACATGAACTAATGCTATCTCCCAGATGTTATTTTGTACATACCTGAGAAAATTAGATAAAAGACAAAAACAAGATTTTATTTTGCATTGTTTTATTGCACATTGTAAAAAATAAGAGACAATTTATCAATAACTACAGCACTTCAGTACTGGTGAAGCCAAAAAAGTTTACTGTAAACATTCTTCATTTGGCGTAATCAAATTTAAGCGCAGTATCACTTTTCAGTAAGTAAGCGCAATGATTAAAAATTCACACATTCACAGTAATCACTACATTATCCGCATATTTTTACAGTATATTCACTAGATATTGTTTTTATATAATTAATATTAAATATAGTTTTATATAAAAATCAGTTTTAAACATGATATTTAGCACAACAATACATGTTTGAAGAGTCAGGACAACCTTCCGAAAAAACATGGGTCTCGAGCAAGCAACAACAATAGACACTAGATCTTAACAGATTGAAATTGGCAATACATGTATTAGGATGTACGTTACCTATATAGATATATAACAAAAGAATCGTTGTCACTTCCAAGACCTCCAAATCTATTTCTTCTTTACTTTAAACAAAAATACTGGTAGACATCGGGATATCTTTGAGAGAAACACATCTAAATCACGATTCGAATTTTACACTCGCCCTTCCAGAAATTCTCCATCTGTCATTCATTCAATCATCGTATGTTTACAACATATTTACGATACACCCATACTTTGTTCTATCACAACTTGTTATGTAGCATTTTCCCAATTAAACAAGTTTCTTAACAAATCTGTACTGAAATGGTCAGTGAAACAGTAGCTTCTCTTAGTGTAAATAATTCCTTCAATTAACGTAGCGATGCGGGAAACAAAAGTGGAGTCAATCCAAACCTGGACTGAAAATTGTCAATCAACAGTAATTCAGTCCCTGAAAAGTAATTTCAGAATTGTATACTTCTTCACTAAATATATTGTCCGACTGGTAAAATTTGTTGGCGAAAAGTCTTTTCCTTCCATCAAAACTTCATACTTTGTACATCACAATACGCTTCACACTGTTCATCTATCTAATGAGGGTTTTGAAACAAACTTCTTAAAAATGTTACCTTTATAAATTCAGTGGACTCTCATCACAAAACTTCTCACCCTCCTCAGTATCTAAACACCATAGAAATTGAACTAATGGAATGTATGGATATAGGACCTGATCTTAAAGCACTCCTAATGTCTGGTAATATCGCAATACCTCACTGTAAATAGTAAGTGCTGTATGTAATGTTACACTATATCTATAGTGCCTAAACAATTTTTTGGCTTTCATATTGATGGCTACAATACTTTATATTTGACAAATGCTGAGATATTTAAGAATCTTACCTATGAAATTTGAGATTTGAGACTATCAGGAGTCGATAAATATGACAATGGACTTGCAAAATGATAATCCCAGTCTTGATTCCATACTTACTGGAAATATTTTAGCCTCTGCATTCACTCTAATGATTGTTAATTGTATAAAAATCCAGATTTTATTTAAGTTGACACGTGAAAGCTCTGCTGTTGAAATTCCAGAATGATTGTCTAAATAAAAAATTCTCTTGTCTCCTTAAGCCAGACAGAATAATACTTTACAAGAAAAAGTCGAACAGAGGTCGCACGATAAAGCCATTCTCTACTCTCTGACGATATACCTTTAGCAGTCCAGAAGTGAACCCCAATAGCTGACCACTTACAATACAATCTCTATATATTTATCTCTATTTGGTGGATCAAAATGTTTTTTCAGTAATCTCTTTTTTATGCTCGAGAATCCAGTGGAAGTCTCTTCACCAACTCCTCCAGAGCTCTATCTCCAGTACAATCAGCCTTCCTCTTCACTAGATCATAACACCGCACCTGCAAATTATTAAATTTTTAAATTTAAATTTAAAAAAAATTAAAAAATATTAAATCTAGAACAATTAATTTTTTTACCTTGTTGTGGTAACCATTTGTGATTTGGAGGAAAACACAAGTGTGACAGAAATATTTAACTTTATAGTAGATTTCATTTAAAAGACACTAGAGTAGAAATACAACTTGCATGACAAGAGAAAACAGTTTGTTTGTTGACTGGGTTTATCACCCTGTAAACATCCAGTGTCATTTTGAGGCAAGTCTTATTTTAGTAGCCGGTGGCTACCACACTGAACAGTTTAAGGTAGAACTGTCACATGCCATCCAGAGCAATTTGGGTAAGGCATCCCGACAAAGACACAGGTCAGCACAAAAGGGGCTGTATTTCACACACTGCTACTGGCAGGGAGCATCGAACCACACACCTCAGATCTCAATCAGAGGTTGTGTCGGCCAATGTTATATTGTCCAAGATATAACAATCCCATGCAAGTACTGTCTGAGCTCTCATAATCACATGATAGTACTGTCCAAGCTTTCATAATCACATGATAGTACTGTCCAAGCTTTCATAATCACATGATAGTACTGTCCAAGTGTAACAGGGTCGAAATTATTAAATGATTAAACTATTGTATTGCTTTGTCCATGAAACCCGCGTTACGTTTTATTAGTCCAAGTTCTTACCGGTTGGCAAATATATCCGGGTATAGCGCGAGCACGTTCTTTATTTGTGCTGTGTACATGTATGTAAGCATGTGGAATGTGAGTGAGTTGTGGTCATCTTTAGTGTTCTTTAGTGCCTCGGTACATTTGAATTTCTTCTTTCAAGCCGTTTAGTTGAATTCCTGTGTCATTGGATCGTTCCTTCGTATGTTTGGGCAAGTTTGATAATTTCTCATTTCTCATTGCTTCCCAGGTTTATTTGTCCTGTATGAATGTGTAATTGTGTATTGAATTGATTTTATATCCTTTTGAAAAGTGAATGTAATTGAACAATGTATTGCGAACAGTGTTTCATGTATCGCGTATATTTTGTACGGTAATGTTGTCGTGCAATATCTCTTATATATGGTACGTTTTGTGAATAGCACGTATTTGACTTTAAAAGTTAGAATGTGTATCTATATTCTTTGTAGTATTTGTATTTTGGCGACTGAGTGTGAGACATAGGTCTCTGGTGCAAGCTTCATCATGTGATGTGATCATGTGACATCGCGTGCTACGTTAATTGTAATTCCGTAAATATTGTTAATGTTAAATCTCTGTAAGTTTTACTATCTTCACTCTGATTGTTAATTTGTTGAAATTTGAATACGTATTTAAGTCATATGTGTGAGATGTGAGAGAGAGATTCTTATTGTGTTTTAATATATGTTTCAGAACGTCTTCATCATCTTCGATGTAATAAATGTTCTAACAATCAAACTCAGCAGCTTTGTCATTATTAGACATTGAACGCCCCACTACACAAGCTCTCATAATTACATGATAGAAAATATTCCACATTTCTCTGGTAACCTTAATAGTACTTCTGTCAACACTGTGTTAAAACGTAAGTGAAACCTGCACTCATGGAATTTTAGTAAAACTTCAGAACTGATCAGTTAGTCTTAAATAGTTGAGCAAATATAAAAAAAATTAGGTTATCTTTGTCAATGCTTTCTATTACAGATCAAATTCTGTGATTTTAACCTGAAATCTCACCATTTGTTTGGTATCATTTTGGCCATGTTTCTGTGCCAGGTTCCAAAGGTTGGTTGCCAACGTAAACGACTGTTTGTTGGCCATGTCACCATGACAAATTAAGGTATTGAAGAGCTCTAATGCTAGAAAACTTTGTCTTTTGTGCATCTGAAAACATGAAAGAAATAATCAAACATAGGGTTGTACACACTTATTGTCTACGTAAATACATTTCACCATGGCGATGACAGAAATCGTAAAAGCAAGCAACATCACATATAAACAATTATCTGCAAACGTCATAAGATTATTTTCAACATTTGCATAATTTTTTTTTCTATTTTTCTTGCACCATGTTGATCTGTGTAATGCATTCCATGCTGATACAATTTAAAACCATACAAAGAGAGATTGACAACTTGATGCTTAACGTAAAAGCCTGCATAATGTGTGCACCTGCATAATGTGTGCACAAGTACTTTTTGGGGCTGAATATAGTGAAAAAAAAATGCTTCCATTTGCATAAAAATTCTGTTAAAATCAATCTCCAGGAGCCAAGAAATTGATCTTGGAATTGTATATCAAGTTAAGGATTACCTCTGGTGCAGTCAGTGTCTTCAGGTGGTTGAGGATTTCCTCTAGTAGTGTGGAACAAATACCGTTGACCTCAGCTAGGAACTTTGGGTCAGATCCATACATGGAATCATTTCCATCAACTGTATACACATATATTGTTAGACAAGTAGGTATGACATTTTCTAGCAAAATGCATGGTAACAATCACATTATAACTGAATTAAACATAGAAAAGTTGCGCCCACAATTTTTATACTTAAGGAAGGTAAAAATTTGTGTAAATCATTCTGATGAAGCCTGGTGAAACATGTTGCAGAGTGTCATAAATTGAAGAACTCAAAACTCAGAAGCTGTTGCGGTTGTGTTATCCTTGACTGAATTCAATATTTTATGCTGGTTTCGAATTTTTTTTCAGGCAGAAAGTCACACAACCATAATGTTTTTATTGTTATAGATATATTATTACTCATGGAAGTCAAACTCATAAAATTTACTGCTCATACAAATTCCATCCTCCTTGCTCCACAGTCATCAGTAAAACATCTTTTTCAGTAATAAAATATCACAGACGATACAGTACCAGGAACACTGACAACTAGGGGCTGGTGTTTAACTACACAGCACACAAAACAAGGTGTCCTTATACAATTATCAGAATCTAACTGACCTTTATCAACATGATACAGATACACCTCCTGACTGGCAGCGGACAGTTGTGCCAACACTCGTGTGTAAATCTGTACCTTGGTGTCCGCACTCTGTTCCCATGTGTAGTTTTGTAGGATGTTAAGGAGACCACGCAACAAGTACAGAACGCCAGAGTCAGGGTTGTCCTGGAAACACAAAACTCTACAATCAACATCTCTGTTTCTGATTTACTAGATAATTTCTGACCAAATTGGTTTTTTTTTGCAAAACAAAAATAAAAATTCTATTTTAGTGATCTTTCGGCAATTGAATTGTTTTTTTTTTATTTCAACCAACATCACCTACAGAAATAAATGATTTTACCAGATGTCTCATTTGTGAAGGACTCTGGGTAAAAAGACACCTGTGCCGTTTCTAATAGATTTTACAGAAAGGAGTCAGTTTACACAAGTTAAATAACTTACCGGGACTGCTAGCAGCGTTGACAGGAAGTTGTAGAGAAACTCTATAAGGAAGGGCTCAGATGACCTTGACTTTCCATCAAGGTCAAGCTGTTTCGGTACATCAGGAATTAGCGATATTGCAGCCTTAAGACACGAGTCTCCTGTAACAGGTTAAATAGTTCCATGTACAAGAGGCCTCTCTGAACTTGTACTCAATATTCATCAAATATAGAATCGGTGTTCATCATTAATGTATTAACACTTCCACCTATGACTTTCAAAACCAGTGCATCCAATCAATTTCAACCAAAACCAGTGCATCCAATCAATTTCAACCAAAACCAGTACATCCAATCAATTTCAACCAAAACCAGTGCATCCAATCAATTTCAACCAAAACCAGTACATCCAATCAATTTCAACCAAAACCAGTGCATCCAATCAATTTCAACCAAAACCAGTACATCCAATCAATTTCAACCAAAACCAGTACATCCAATCAATTTCAACCAAAACCAGTGCATCCAATCAATTTCAACCAAAACCAGTGCATCCAATCAATTTTAACCAACGTCCACAACAAACAGCCTCTAATACTCTAAACAGTGACAGTTATCACCTGGATTTGCAGTAAATGTCATTTAGTTTTTGCTTTTTTGTTGTGCTTTTGACCTTGAAACACCTTTAAACCAAGTATCATCGTAACAGACAAAAGGATTTTTTCTTCCGGTTTGTAATATGTATATACAGAATAGAACTTCTTATATCACCACCAGTTAGACATTTATTTGTGACATTTTGTTGACTACAACATCAGAATGAACAGAGTGAAGCTTACTGGCTCCAACATATACAGCTAGTGGACCAGAAGGTACGAATGAATTGAAACTTTCCCAATGTACTATAATCTTACGTACACTAGGAGGAAAAGTATAGATATTCTGGGGATATTCTCAGGATCAACAAACAACATATTAGAAGACATCTTTGATACTCCAGGGGTTATGATAATTTTCACTCTCTACACCCCTGGAACATGTCATGGCCACACTGAAGGATCTAAGGAGACACCTTGTACACGAAAAGACTGATTTGACCCTTTGATGTACATCAAACAAACTTCAAGGTCTATTATAATGGCTTTGAAGTTAAGTGTCACTGCTATGTAGTCTTCAAAAGGAGCACATCATCCTGAGATTGGTCAGTTTTTTTTTTTTTTTTATTCAGGAACCAATCAAATTGCTCCGTTTGTGCCTTTTATTTTGCCATGACAGACAATGAAAGCAATCATAACCCCTGGAGTATCAAGAACAACTAGATGAATTCCTTGAATTTTTTTGAGAACTTATCCTGATTTTTAACTTACCTTGACTATAACACTGGTTTAGCAGGGCTACCTGGCCAGATAGGAGGTACAGATGAAGCTGAGCCATAGTGGACTGTAGAGAGGGTATGGTGATGAAGCAAAACGCAGCACAGGCCTGAAAATACACCATACACTGATACTAGTAATGACTATCAGACAATATTAAATTACCTTTTTGCTGCAATAAAACTGAAGGGCCAACATACATCTTAGGATTCAAAGTCTGGGGGTGGGCTTATTGCAGGACAATCAAATGTAATATATTGATTTTGATTTAGATAAACAATGATTGACACAGTCAGTGAGGTTTGACTGTGTTGTATATTATATACAAGTAGGGTTATTTCCAGGCGTGTGCTTGAATTGTCACACTAGTATGGGACAATTTCCTGGTCAATTAAGCTATTTTACAATTCTCTTGTCAGGAAATTGTCCTGATATATATTAGGTGAAAAAAAAAACTGTTTTTGATCAAAATCATAAAAACACGAACAATGGAATATGACAAAATGAAAATAATCACACGAAAGGCTTTTATAATTAGATACATACGCGTATCATACTTTATGATTTACAGAAGATAATTCCGCAGCTCACTGGTTCACGTCTGTAGTGCAAATATGCATATATTCATAATTATAGTGATTAATACAAACGATTTAAATGAACTAGAACAGTAGAGCTAATATCAATTTTAGGGTAAGTAGCAGGGTTTTCCATAATTTTGTTAGTAGTAGGCTGTGTAGTGAAAGTAGGAGGCTGGCCTGCTGTGTACGTGTAGTCGTGTACGGAACATTATTACGGAACTGGATTTGTGTAGGCGGCCAAATGATCAAAGTAGGCGGTAAAATTGGCCGGCGACCAACTTTTATGGAAAACCCTGAAGTAGGTTGATCAGTGAGGTGCTGCACGTTGGGTATGGATACTTAAAGGTAAGCAGGGCGACAAAATAAAACATAAGATAAATGAATCAAGGTAGCTTGAATCACAACATACACAAGCATCACCAGTGAGTTGCTTATTAAATGGCAGACTAGTTTCCCCTTAATAAGTGAGGCTTCATCCTGACCAATTTAAATTTGATAAATATTAGATATGGACATGGAGGCCTCAGACTTATGTCTATAATATACATTATATCACAGCTGATGAATCAAATTTCACCACAGGTAATATATTTATTATCTAAACTAAACACGTTCTCACTTGACAACCTGAAGAATAAATTAACGTACCCGTACAAAGTTTCCAGTCTTTCTTGAGTGATTTCCATGAACAACTTTTCTTGTTTCTATGGCTAAATTGTTTACATTCTGAAAATATAGGGCATGACATGTAAAGTAAACAAGACACATGAAACATTAGGAAATCATTCCTACTTTGCTAGTATAAACCATGCAGGGATTTACATCCATCATATTTCTTAGTGTCATTGAGTCATATGAAATTAATCATCTTAAGAGTGAGCTGGTGTGAATGTAAACATTGAGTAAGATTTTCAGAAAAGAAAAGTAAAAAAAAAAACATCAAAAATAGATAAGCATATTTATATATATATATATATAAAACATGCATGTATATTTTCATAGTAAGAAGGTCAATAACGTCGTGTCAGGTAAAAATAAAAAACTTTCGTTCTTACCTGTACAAGTTGAATGAGGACTAGATCAAGATTCGTGAAAGCTGATCTGGCTTCGACGTAAAAACTAAGCTGCTGTTCGAAATCTTTCCCAAATGAAATCTTGCGGACAAAATTGGAAATTAGATGACTCACCATCTTTTTCTCATCAGCTAAGGTGAGTGCGCTGTGAATCAAATAGGGAAAATATCAGTAAAATACAAATGATTTTTTTCTGCTATACTTCTGTACAGATATGACACGCCCCTGGAATTACCTCATTTGTCCAGCTTACAGGATTTTACTGATTAGCAGAGTCTACTTGTTTCATAATTGAATTCTTCAGCTAATTAAGACAAAAATATTCTGATTCCCAGTGTCTGGTTTAGACAGTGCAGCATTTTAAAACATTGTAGGCTGACAAAGGTAAACCCTGATTTTTAAGTCAGAATAGACAGGTTTAAAAATTCTCATTTCACATGATATGACTTTATACAGCTGGAGTTGCTTTACGCTGGTTTCCTAATTTCCAGGGTTCTGTGTAGACAAGTTCATTACAACTACCATAAGTTACTGTAAAGTAATTTCAATGTAAGTTCTACTGCAAAACTAGATCTATCCAATGAAAGCTCTGTAACAAAAATAAAACCAGACCATTACCAGATACACGCAAAGCTCATCGTCTCAAATTTGGCAAGGCCATTGCCAAACTTCTGAGGTACGGCATATTCAATATAAGTGAGTTTGAATGTTTTGTGTAAAGTTATAGGCATGGACCAATGAAATCCTTCGAATAAAACCAGGTCCAAGTAAAAGTTTGAGATAACAAGGTTCAACAGTTTCAGTCAAAACTTCTGAAAACGTTTCCACAACACCCCCACCCCCCCAAAAAAAAGGTGAAGTTATCAACAAAAAGAATCTGATAATGAGAGAATCTGAATTGTTCTTTCAATTGATTTTTATAAGGGGTTCAGTTCATTAATTACTATGGCAACAACCCTGTGCTAATTCCAGGGGGGAGAAAACATCACATCTGTCTCCAAATCCAAATGACAGCTATTTATCATCCTCGATACTCCACAGGTTACAATCACAAGGCACAAGTGAAGTAATTTGATTGGTTCCAGGAGGAAAAAAAACTGACCAATCACAAGCTGATATGTTCCTTTTGAAGATTACAAAGTAGGGACACCCAACTTCAAAACCATTACAATATATTGTTATGCGACCTCATGATGCAAGCTAGTCTTCGCGTCCTGTTCACAAGGTGCAGCACAAGGAACCTTCAATTTTGTAATGACATGATTTATAGATAACTTTCTGTTAAGAACTAGATAATATACTCTCATGTAAATGTATTACAATATCTCTTTACCCAACAAACTGAAACTGATATCTTGTGATGTCAGTTACACAGACTTTTCTAATAAATTATCTGCTAAAACTAAGCACTCCAAATAAAACACATCTATCCATGGTCAAGTGTCTTGTCTATAACTTCTTAATAAAATTTAATTCTATGACTGGTATAAATTAACAAAACCTAGAGTCCTGGGGTAGGACAGATGTTTCACTGGCCCAACCCTAACAAAACCTGCATCCCGAGGGTAGGACAGATGTTTCACTGGCCCAGCCCTAACAAAACCTGCATCCCTAGGGTAGTACAGATGTTTCACTGGCCCAGCCCTAACAAAACCTGCATCCCTAGGGTAGACCAGATATTTCACTGGCCCAGCCCTAACAAAACCTGCATCCCGAGGGTAGTACAGATATTTCACTGGCCCAGCCCTAACAAAACCTGCATCCCTAGGGTAGACCAGATGTTTCACTGGCCCAGCCCTAACAAAACCTGCATCCCTAGGGTAGGACAGATGTTTCACTGGCCCAGCCCTAACAAAACCTGCATCCCTAGGGTAGACCAGATGTTTCACTGGCCCAGCCCTAACAAAACCTGCATCCCTAGGGTAGACCAGATATTTCACTGGCCCAGCCCTAACAAAACCTGCATCCCTAGGGTAGGACAGATATTTCACTGGCCCAGCCCTAACAAAACCTGCATCCCTAGGGTAGGACAGATGTTTCACTGGCCCAGCCCTAACAAAACCTGCATCCCTAGGGTAGGACAGATGTTTCACTGGCCCAGCCCTAACAAAACCTGCATCCCTAGGGTAGGACAGATATTTCACGGGCCCAGCCCTAACAAAACCTGCATCCCTAGGGTAGACCAGATATTTCACTGGCCCAGTCCTAACAAAACCTGGAGTAATGAGGTAGACCAGATATTTCACTGGCCCAGCCCTAACAAAACCTGCATCCCTAGGGTAGGACAGATGTTTCACTGGCCCAGCCCTAACAAAACCTGCATCCCTAGGGTAGGATAGATGTTTCAATGCAACAGTCCTAACAAAGCCTAAAAACCTGGGGTAGGACAGATGTTTCATTGACTCAGTCCTAACAAAACCTAGAGTCCTGGGGTAGGACAGATGTTTCACTGACACAGTCCTAACAAAACCTAGAGTCCTGGGGTAGGACAGATGTTTCACTGACACAGTCCTAACAAAACCTAGAGTCCTGGGGTAGAACATTTCACTGACACAATCCTAACAAAACCTAGAGTCCTGGGGTAGGACAGATGTTTCACTGACACAGTCCTAACAAAACCTAGAGTCCTGGGGTAGGACAGATGTTTCACTGACACAGTCCTAACAAAACCTAGAGTCCTGGGGTAGGACAGATGTTTCACTGACACAGTCCTAACAAAACCTAGAGTCCGGGGTAGGACAGATGTTTCACTGACACAGTCCTAACAAAACCTAGAGTCCTGGGGTAGGACAGATGTTTCACTGACACAGTCCTAACAAAACCTAGAGTCCTGGGGTAGGACAGATGTTTCACTGACACAATCCTAACAAAACCTAGGGTCCTGGGGTAGGACAGATGTTTCACTGACACAGTCCTAACAAAACCTAGAGTCCTGGGGTAGGACAGATGTTTCACTGACACAGTCCTAACAAAACCTAGAGTCCTGGGGTAGGACAGATGTTTCACTGACACAATCCTAACAAAACCTAGAGGACGGGTGTAGGACAGATGTTTCACTGACACAGTCCTAACAAAACCTAGAGTCCTGGGGTAGGACAGATGTTTCACTGACACAGTCCTAACAAAACCTAAAAACCTGGGGTAGGATAGATGTTTTACTAGAATAGCCTCAACATCTGGTAGGATAGAATAAAACAAGAAATTCTATGTATAAAATTGAATATTGTACATGATATATATCTTCACCTGACAGATAAAGCGTCAAGACTCTTATGCTTGAGCACTGTGGACTCTTGGAATCCTTTAAAAAAAACATATCTATTTAAAGCACTTACTTGACCGAGTCATGCATAGTTTTACAGATGAATGTTAACGCGTTTATAATCACAGGATCATTTGTGGGTTCCATCTGGTGTCTGAAAATAATTACAACACAAAGAAGAAAGGTGAAACAAGTCAGAAAGAGGAAGAGTTTTAATAAGAATTAGCCATCTAAATTTTACATGTCTATCAAACATAATGGTTAGTTCGTCATGGTCTGTTGAGCAGCCAGTTCCTGTCTTATAAACCCATTCTCAACAGGAGATATGAATATGACGCTTACTGTATTACAAGATATATCTTTGTAATTTTTGTATTGAAATTGAAATACAGCAAAAATATTCATTCATTCACATAGATCTACAAATAATTTGTCACTTCAAGATTGACCAACAAATTATAAGTTATGACATTTGCTTAATGTTAAGACAAACTCTCATGTTCTATTTATCCTTTTTCAAAGCAATATAAAAAAATATGTTTATTTTTTTTTTTTTTTTTATACAATGACAACTTGAGTGTAGATACTTACTTGGCAAACGCTTCCATTATAGTCTTACAAATATCCACTTTAACAGCCTCCTTTTGGAACATGTCTATGAATGGCAGAAACTTATTCTAAAACAGAGATTCATAGTTATTTCAGAATGACTGAGAAACAAGTTTTCAACTTGGAAACAATGAGGAAGCCATGTGATCATGGCAGGTGACCCTTTACTTTTTCACATCTGATAGGAGAAATAAACCCTGGGCTCCTAGGTGAAAGATGATCTACAACAACTAAGAAACCAGTTTCAGATGGAAGCCCCAGCGCAAAATAATGGACAAAATGTTTTGAACTTACCAATGAAAACAGTGTGGAGAAGTTGTGTATGTGGGTTACAACTTTGGCAACAACAGACTGCAGCTGAGGGTAGTAATCTTCAAACGCCCGGTCAGGAGTCATGTGTTTGATTATATCTGCTAGAATAGTATTCACTTCTCTCTTCTACAACCAAAAGGTATGAAATACTTGAAATATTGATTTCATATTTCAAATTTCATCTGCACAATTGAAGTGTGGTAAAAAAATCAAATTGAAAAACAGAACTTTACATTAAATTTTCAAACCAGGGGAGGCCATTTTGTCTTACAAAACATTAAACAGTTCCTCCAGTCAACAAGATTTCATTGTCAACAAGATTAGACTTTAGGCTGACGCTAACTACTAGTTCACAGTATCAGCTATCAATATTTTATTGTGTAAGGGAGACAACTCAATTCAAGAAATGGAAAGAAATTTTTGTTTCAAATTTGAGACTTTTAAATGATCAATTCATATTGAATTGGAAATTTTAATACTTACACCAAAATTTAAAACTACATATTCAATCCATATCTCAGCACTGCCAATGTAATCCTGCAAATCAACACAAACCATTAATTTAATGATAATTTTCCTTATCATTATTACTACGACATTCTTAACGGCCCGTCAACACACAAAAGGTCATTAGGGCCATCAACCAGTAAAACACACAGTGATTCAAAAAGGAAATAACATCATACAAACTAAAAAGTAAAAGACAAATGCTAAAAATCTTAAACGATTATATTATCAAAAGATTAAAATGGCAGGTCATAGTCTATCATACAAACCAACATCTTTCAGGTAACCTAGAACTTTATGAATCTCAACAATTTTAAAAAATGGTCTTCAGACTTGTAACGTCACAATAAAAAATGTCTTGAGTAGACAGAAGGTCAATGCAGTCCAATAAAAGTTCATTTAATGAAGCAGTATCTTAAACCAGTAAAATACAAATTAATCAGTATTGGTTTTCAGTGTTTCAAAAACCTTAAATCAATCATATCAAATGTGTCACAAATGCCTATTGGTTTATCCTTCAATAAGTCTGCGGGCCAATGCATACGTCAGGGGGGTTGGCTTATTACAAGACAAGGAAAAACCATTGGTTTATAATTCCACAAAACAACAAATGAATGGTCTTATTACAAGGCATGTGTTTATCTGTGGACAAATACGATAAATGCTAAAAACAGTTTGGACCTAAATTCTAAATACAGTCCGACCTCGTTATCTCAGACTCAGCGGGACCTTGAGAAAACTTGGAGATAACAAAGTATTTGTTCTAAGCGAGTTTGAAGAATGTTTTGTGTAAAGTTAGACAGGAACTGATGAAATGTTTTGAATCAAATGGGGTCTTTGAGTGACACGAGTTCAAGATAACAAGGTTTTTTTTAAAAAAAATTAACAAAGAACTTTGAACAGGGTCACAATTTATGTATGTGTTTGTCAATATTCGTGGGACTAGATCTTACCGCTGGATTTTTTAATTTCATGACGGCCTTCCATACTTCATTAAGGACAGTAAGTTTTTGTTCCTCAGGTGGTGAAGCCATCACAAGGCACAGCCCTAAGGTTCGATGCAACAAATGCTAACAAAGAAAAATGTAATCACTTTATATATTTTCGCTTGATCTTTGAATACAAAAACAATTTCTCAGTAACAGCCACAAGACAGAGACTACAATTTCTACATCCCATTTATATATGTGGCATGAGACTTTAGTTTTTTTATTTTCTGGGTTGTTTTTCCATTTAATTTTTATGTTTTTTTTTTTCTCTTTAAAACCAAGAATTTATACTGAAGTAATATATTTAAGACTCATCTATGTTATGCTACCTTTGGAAAACCAGTGTCTTCACTTTCCCGGATCATCTCTGTAAACTCCACAGCTCGAACAGCAATATATTCCGGTTTGAATGCAGAAATGATGGAGTTCAACAGCAGAGCACTGCATCATTATAATATAACTATCAACGTTTGTATTTTCATTGCAAAGATGTTATGAATAGACAAATTTGTACTGATCAATATATTACTATTGTCATTTAATACTCTGCAATACAAAGCACAAACAAACTAACAGTAACAAAACAAAAACAAATATTTCCAAACATGAAAACTATGATAGCATTAGCCTACCTTTTACAGTGCTTTTTGAACTTTTGTAGAATGTCCATGAGTGTCTGTTCGGATGATTTATTGGCAATACATTGTAGCAGCCAGTCGAGAGCGGGAGAAAACAGTGTCAGATACTTAGGCATCTCCAACTTCTGCATGGCTAGCACATTCTGTACATGATCCCCTTGGATCTGGTAGGAAGAGACAGTGTCACAGAAGTGCAAAATCATTCATTTTTGTGGGCAATTTATTTTTGTTGATTTTGTGGGTAATCTCCCAGGAATTGTATTTTGAAAATCAATTAAAATTCAACAACCACAGAATAATCTATGAAATTTGAGACCCACAAAAATAAACCATGAAATTCGAGACCCACAAAACAATCCATGGAGACTCACAAAAATCTATGACTTTGCAGTAAGTCCCTTCTGTATAGGTATATTGAGACCTTATCTGCTGCTGTAAGTAGTCAATAATAAAAAGAGCAAGCAAGTTAACGCTACTGTCAACCAGCAAAATGTAAAAGTGGCACATTTGAAGTTAAGTAATAAGAAAATGGTCAGGATAGGTCATTCCAAGATTGGGTAGGAAACCACAACCCCAGCACTTACTTGTGTGTAGGAGGCAAGGAAGTCATCAAAACAGGGCATCAAGTGGTCACTGATTGTTGGAGCTATCAGCATCCCAACCTTCATATTGACAAAAAAAAAAAAAAGATATTACTCATACAGGACCAAAGCACAATTTACAAATTAAGTTCTGATACCTAGGTAAAATGTGATGATATCAGATAGATATTTAAGGCAGCTCATCAAAATACACTTTTTATTACAGATTGTATTTAAACTGTCTACAAATGGGAACGATTTTAAAGTATTCAAACTTCCAACCAGCTATACTTGTCTTTATCTAATTGTTTTTCCAGGAAATCACTTTTTAGAAAACCTGGTATATAGAAGAACAGTGACAGATTGCCCGATCTAACATGTTTCCTCAATGCACAAAAGACATTCAAAATGCACTTATAAGTTAATACACACACACATACTGCCAAAACTTTGTGATTGTGAAAAATCTTCGAGTTGTTACAAGAAAATTAAACAAGAAACAATTTAAAATCATTTTTAACTAATAGTCTTATGATCAAGAACTCAAACCAGTAAATAGCAATCTGAGCGTCACTTACTCTGCTGAGATAACAACGAGCATAAATAGCAACCAGTGGATCTCCTATTCCCTTGATCATGGCCATCAATCTATTAAGCGCATCTCTATACTCCCTAAAAATCACAACATTAGATTCATAAAATATTATTATATTAGATTCATTGTAGATTGTACTCCATAGAAATAACAATATAAGATTCATTATATATCGTACTCCATAGAAATAACAATATTAAGATTCATTGTATATCGTACTCCATAGATAGAAATAACAATATTAAGATTCATTGTATATCGTACTCCATAGAAATAACAATATTAAGATTCATTATATATCGTACTCCATAGAAATAACAATATTAAGATTTATTATATATCGTACTCCATAGAAAGGACAATATTAAATTCATTGTATATCGTACTCCATAGAAATAACAATATTAAGATTCATTGTATATCGTACTCCATAGAAATAACAATATTAGATTCCTTGTATATCGTACTCCATAGAAATAACAATATTAAGATTCATTGTATATCGTACTCCATAGAAATAACAATATTAAGATTCATTGTATATCGTACTCCATAGAAATAACAATATTAAGATTCATTATATATCGTACTCCATAGAAATAACAATATTAAGATTCATTGTATATCGTACTCCATAGAAATAACAATATTATAGATTCATTGTATATCGTACTCCATAGAAATAACAATATTAAGATTCAATGTATATCGTACTCCATAGAAATAACAATATTAAGATTCATTATATATCGTACTCCATAGAAATAACAATATTAAGATTCATTGTATATCGTACTCCATATCATATTTCCATATCAAATTATGATGGCAACTGTAAGATTTCTACATAGTCTTCATTAAACCTGTATCCACAAAGTTAGATTTAAATCAACTTGACATATTTCAAGCAGTGAGATTACCAGTTGATCATTTTTCAACAAGACTACAAAGTGGAAATTAAGTATAGATTTATTACAGGTACAATATCCTGTAATTAGTATATCACTCAATCAAAATTCTAATTTTTCTTATTCACTACATATCAAAGATTTTACATATAGTAAGTATATACATGAGTGGTCAGGTGTCACAGTGATAATGCACTCGCCTTTCACTGAGATGTCTGGCGTTTGATTCCCTGAGCGGACGTGAAAAGATACAAGTGAGTTTTCCCTGAATACTCTTGTTTCCTCCTATATTAAGACCCCCTTGTTTACTTCCATCCAGGCCAACAAAAGCGATTCATACAAACTGACAGCTTCTTTCGCAATTGTTGTAAAATGTACTACTGGTAATTGTTCTGACTTATAACAGTATACTACATATAACATAGTCAATGATTTCATTTTTACCTGTAAAACAATGTAAGGAAAAAGGTTAAGTATAGTAATAAGTTTTATTTCTAAGCAAATTCTGACTTAACTTGAAATATTTACCCTTGGTTGAGATAGCTGTAACACTTCAGAATGGCTGTTTCCACATAGAATCGAGGTATCAGCTCCCGTATCGATGCTATCTTGTAAAACCAGTTCCGACATGTCTCTTTGGCCGACTCAGGCACTTGGTCAGGTGTGAAATTGTCTGTGAAGTATAAACAGATTAGACTGTCTCAAAGGTAAACCTCTGTTTTGAAAAGGTAAACCTCTGTTTTGAAAAGGTGTTTACCTTTTCAAAACAGAGGTTTACCTTTTCAAAACAGAGGTTTTGAAAAGGTAAACATCTGTTTTGAAAAGGTAAACATCTGTGTTGAAAAAGTAAAGAGGTTTTTATTACTGAGTCAATAGATTAGTTTTCTCTTTTCTTAATAGTATATTCTGACTAGAAAATATCTGTCACCATGACCTTACCTGGAATATTCAAATAGGGTAATTACTTATACTACAGTGTATACAGCACCACAGTCATGAAGAGCATTTGATTATACCATATCTGTGTCTTGAGAAGATGATTTTGAAAATTTAAGTCTATTTGACCCCTTTTCGCCCCGCCCATCAGCCCCTGGGGGTCAGTCAGAATCAAAATGGGCATACCATCAGGCGGTCACCCTTCACTCATAATTCCAACCATGTATAAAATATTTCTAATGGAAATTAAACAAATTATACCCAAAAATCTAGTTTTCATATATAAACTGTAGTAAAATTTACCACCTCCCCACGGGGTAATGTGAGACCCTAAGGCCATGAAATTCACAATTTTGGTACAGCACCTTAAGATGCTTCCACTCATGAAGAGTATTTGATTCTACCATATATGGGTCTTGAGAAGAAGATTTTTGAAATCTGAGTCAATATAACCACTTTTGACCTTACCCCTCAGGCCCCTGGGGGGTGGGGACTGTATAATTCACAAAATTGGTTCATCTTAGGCTTGGGAAGGTTTCTGCAAAATTTCATTGAAATCGGATCAGGGTTTTTTTAGAAGTGGAGGGTGTTAAATTGTTTACAAACGCAAGGCACGTGATGCCAGATGAAGGGTATTAGAATAGATCACCATGAGACTTTGTCTCAGGTGACCTAAAAAACTCCAGTTTGACCTCACTGATAATAACCAAAGTTTGCTCTTTTGATAAAATTGTACAGAGAGGGGCAAAGAGTGTCCAGCAAAGTCTGAAGAATTTTTATTTTTGTCCTGTTTTCTGCTGACATACCCACCAGGTAATTTGACTGGAACTCCACTTCCTGGTGGGTAATACATGGCTTTTTCCTTCAGTCTGTCATATACCAATCTTCCTATAATGAAAGAAAAATCACTAAATCACAACAGGTACATTTCTTAAATATCAGCTTTGTTTTTATGGCTCAAGATGTTATCTCCTGACTTCTTCATATTTCATATTTTCCTTCAAATAAAATGAAAGCTTGACAAGACATTTCTCTTATGTGTGATGTAGAGGTAGACATCTCAGCCTAGGGAGTAAGATTTTTTAAGTGCAGCACCATAACTTCAACTAGGAAAATGTGTAGACATCAACAATATTTATAATGAAGGTTGTTAAAGAGTACATGGACAGCAAGGCACACCTACCAAATGTGTCCAGTATGTCTGTAATAAGGACAAACTTGCTGGGGTAGAATTGGATCACTGACGTGTCTGCTAACAGCTTGGAACACTAAAAACAAGGAGATAAATATATTAATTATCTTCAGTGTAATAATACAATGGCATTCACTGTAGGTTTCGTGACAATGTATTGCAATCACCTCTAGAACCGAGATTTGTTAGTATAAAAGTGTATTTACTAGGATAATCAGCCTAATTCCATAATACGATAATTTAAGGCTATTTCAGAATTAGAAGTACTGTGAAATCATTAATTTTTGTGGGGAATTTATTTTCATTGATTTCTCATATATTTTTAATCCACAAAAAATTCATATGTCCACAAACTCGTAATATAGGTGTAAGTTGATGTAATAAGCTCTATTCATCCACAAAATCAAATATCTATGAAACAGAGACTGATGAAAATGTACAATTTTACATTATGTAGGGGTTGTAAAAAATCATGGTATACCACCCCCTTCCAAAAAGATAACACCACAACTAGATAATGAATGATGTATCATACCTGGATAGCTATTTTAAGAGCCTTCACTCTTTGATCATTGTCCCAGGCATTTATAAGAGCTTGGTTCAGTTCATCGATGCGGTTCACATAATCCTGTTGACTAAGGTTCAACATTTCTTGAACAGACCCCTAAAACAGTGAGTGATTACACTAACCATCATCTATAAAATTCAATATTTCCTTTTAAATCATTTAGACAAAACTGAATCCTGAGACTACAACCTACATTTTAATGTAAAGAAACATAACCCGTAACCTTATGATAAACACATGATGCAAATTGATAAGATTCACAGCAAATCACACTCTCAAACTGATAAAATTCACAGCCAATCACACTGTCTTTCTTTCAGTAGCGTTTCTTGAATTAGAGATTGAAATAACTTTTAATGGTGGAAAATACAATGTTTTCTCAAAGTCTATAAATTGTGTTTTCATTGTTGTTCATGTAATGCTTAATGTTTACCTAATACAAAAAGAAAAGAAAACACAAACCTCTTCAAAGTCATCCAATTGTTCCAGTCTGTTTCTGACTTTGTCTGTCACTGTGGTGGCCGTCACTGCCTTGATGACAACTATTTTAATACAAAATGTCATAATTACGATGCTATCTTAATAATTATCACAACTATACACGTATATACATTTAAAGACCAAATCATTCTGATTTTTTTTCGCATAATAATTGAAGTGGTGGGAAAGTGATAACCTTCCACAGAACCCATTCACAAAGATGACTGTGAAATGGCATGAAGATTATGATTTGTGGTTCTTAGTACTTAGCCTTAGTTTATACAATTAACCACAGGTGTTGTTATTTTTCTTGTGGACCTGTTATAATCACATTGTAAACAAAACCGAATATGACTAGCAATACAAAAGAAAACCCTGTAAAACAGCTCACTTCTTCAGGAATTATGTGTACTGTTTGTATTTATATACCAGCTGTAATTTTATTGTAACACTTTTTGCACTGAACAAATCTGATTCATATAATTGTAGATTCTATACATTGATTATATGGCTACTCTTTGGACATGCTAATTATGCCATTGCACTAATTTTCCATAAAAGTGATTACACCCTAAAATTTGATTGTGCCAAATAAGGAACTCTGACAATATCTGAAGGTTTTACTGTTTTGTTTTTTTTTTGTGCATCACTTTTAACAAACGTGAGCACTCAACTGCAGCTCTTGTAAAACCCTATCATATCAACCCATAGTTTATCTTTGATAAATACATTGGATATTCTCCTCAATTTTTGTGTGCAATTCTCATACCTTTCTCCTTATCTGAAGCTGACAAAAAGCTGGTGGTAATGGAGAGTTTCTCTGAAGTGCTGTACTTGGTAAGAATGCTGGCTTTCTTGGCACTCCATGGTTCAAAAGTTTCATCCAGATCATCACTTGGATTGTGTGTCCTATTCTCCTACAAGGCAAGATATGTAATGCATACTTTGCTATACATGCTTACTGGTATATCGACAAAATCAAAGCAATAAGTAAGCACCTTCATTAGTCATAACATTTACTTTACCTATGAGTGGGCCAACACGATGCCTCTGACTCAAATCAAGGGGTTTGGCTTATTACAGGACGATGAAATAGTGCTGTAGGCAATTCTATTGAAATGCAGCTTGCTACCAAACATGTAGTAGTAAACATGCATTTATTTTCAGATATACTGGTGAAACATGTCAAGCAAGTGCAAAGAATGACTGTGGAGCTTAGAAGCAACAGCCACAATATACAGTCGAAACTGGTTATCTCGAAATTAAAGGGACTGTGGGAAATATTTCCACTTATCCTATTTTCAACTCAAACCATGTGTATAAATAAGGTTGATGATATCAGTTTCCTGAAATATACAGTCAAAACTGGTTATCTCGAAAATTATAGGGACTGTGGGAATTATTTCCACTTATCCTACTTTCGACTCAAACTATGTGTATAATAAGGTTGACGATATCAGCTTCATGACATTGATTATGGTTGAACAAAGTAGGGCTGCGATAGCACGCAAACAGTGTAATTTATTTTGTTGTTTGAAATGGCAGTAAATAAACAAGTCAATTTATTTCTACTTTCTCCTTTTATTGTCTTTTCATCCAAACAACCAAACATGTAACAACAACTTTATTCAAATATATTTGTACTAACGTTGTTCTGTCCCACTCACATATTCTTACTGACCAAGCACATATATATCATATATTTTACGGAATGACAATTAAAAAAAACGAGAAAAACAAATTTGCTTTTGATACACTACAAGAAGTGATGTATAAAGCCACAGATCATATCAATATGACTTTTTTATGAATAAATAAACATATGAAAAACACAGCCCTAGAAAGTTTTTACCTGTTACTGAAAACATCGTGCAAGCACTAGAATTAAAAAATCATGCACAGATATAGACTCAACCAATGAAAATACTTTCAGCACTTCATTGTCCAAATGCTAAACCTGACAAGGTGCCTGATCACAGTCCTTCAGTAAACAACCTCAAAATTAGTTTCTCACGGAATTTTGGGAATCAGATTTCATCAAAAAGTTTGTACTGGTTTGGCGGTTTCGTCTTTATCGTTCCTGAAGATGCACACAACCAAGCTAAATGGTTTTATGTTTTTTGTAAACGCGCTTCTTTTTTTAACAAATAGGTACGTCATTGCTACAGGATGTTGACACTAATTAAGAAGCAAACCTTTCACTGGATAATTAAACTGGTAATTAATCGCCAGAGATGAAGTTTTGTGTGTATGATAGACCGATAGGCAGTAATAAGCCATGTCTTACACACAGGTGACTTTCTACGTTGTGTATGTATTGACCAATTTCGTCAGAAAATGTGCTGATGTTTTGAAAAAAAATAATTTCGAGACAACGAATGACTTTTCCTGTGCTTTACAATTGAAGGGAGTGAAAAGTCGCTTCGATCCAACCAAAATTTTGACTCAATGAAATCCGAACTAAATTTACAAAAATGTAGAAGGAAAAAAATCAGGCCTTGAAAATCATTTCGACTCAAGCAATTCCAAGACAACAAATTTCTTTAAAAGATGTGTTCAATTGTTGTAAGTTACAAAAAACAGCAAAATTAATTGCAAATCACCACTACTTTCTTTCTTCACCCTTGCCAAAATACTGCTTATATTTAAAGACACTGACCATGTATTATCTATATATATCTATTGAAATTCCTCCTTGGGAATACCTTCAGACTGGAGCTTCGGGTCTTAGATGTACTCTGTGTGTGGACTTCAGCAGCAAACATAGACAATGGATCTGAACCCTCCAAAGCAGAACTTAAGGGATCAAATATTTCAGTCTTTACAGGTTTGCTGGCCCCTGCTCCTTTTATAGGTGTCCCACGTTTTTCTGTACTTTTTACTTCCACAACCTGAAGGAGAAAACTTCAAATTAATCTGTTGGTAAATTAGCTGTTATGTCTTAGTTACAACAAATACACATGTATTTTCCCATGTAATTTAAGTACAGGGCTCTCACACCCCATTTTGGGACTGGGGCCCAGGGCCCTTAGAATTGGGAAAAATAGCTTTGTTTTCCTTAGAATTGGGAAAACTTGGGGTCTAAATTGGGTAAAAAAAAAAACTATTTTGCATTGGGAATGGGGCTGTATATTTAAAATATTTCATAACCCTCACAAATTATTCAATAATAATCACATTCTTGCAACAATTTAAAACAAAAATAAATTAAATGATGAAAGTAAAAGGAAGATTTATTTCTTACACTAATAGTTTTCAATGGATGGCTGATAGTCTCCTCAAGTTGGACATTTTTTTTCTTCGCTTCCAGATAATAGTTTCTTTTTCTTGGGACCCTGGAATGAAATCAATGGACACAATATATCACTGCATTTCAAAATGTAAAAGTACCATCCTAGTACATATAGTTACAGCATTGGTGCAGAACTTTACATGAACATTAAGTGAAATGGTGTTAACAGTCCCCATGTTGTATTTTGCTATTGTCTTTTTACAACTTGAGAGATACACAGTAGGGAGAACCAACACTCTTATTGTTTAAAAAAGCGACAATGTTCCTGAACGGATACCATGCGGTATTCACTAGAGATCCTTGTCATGTATAAACATATAAGTAAAATAAAGGCATCTCAACATCCACAAACAGTTCTTCTTTTTATTCCGTTTGGTACATCGTCGACATGTTTGGACTGCTATGCGGCCATCATCAGGTCAACGATGTACCAAACGGAATAAAAAGAAGAACTGTCCGTGGATGTTGAGATTCCTTTATTTACTTCTATCTTTTTTACAACTTGTTACTGAAGTGAAGAAAGTGAAGAAGACAAGAAGGAAGTAAATCCAACAATGTTAATTGCTACCGATGACCATGACAAGTGACTGGAAATCCATTCATATACAAACTTTCCAAGTGTATAGTACAAGTAATGACAACGGCTGAATTAAAAACATTACTGGTTTATCAAACTTTACGTGGATATCGTTTTTTGTGTATTGTCTTATGGTAAAGCAAACAAAGAAATAGAAAGACATGTTGTAAGTTTAAAAAGAAAAATAAGAAATTAAGCAGGCATCGTTGAAGAGTAAAGTATATCGCTCCGACCTACGAGTAACAGGAACATGCTAGTTTTTCTTGATTATCGTAACTTTAACAGTAAGTACGTAAGAAATATATTGACACATTCTAAATAGTGTGTGCTTTATCTCAGTGGTGATTGGAGTAACACCTGATGGATAACAATTGAGAAGAACCAGAAATCATAACAAACCATTCGTAAGTCGCCATTTTGTACAAGCATGTCACATGACTTTACAGGGACGCCTCCTGACCATTTTAGTTTCGTATTCATAGATAAGGCGTATATATGAAACAATAATTTTAATGTTATAATGTGATTTTACAAATAGGATAATTGTCAGTCATTTCTATAACACTTTATTTCATTTTCTTCAATCACATCAGATACGAAAACAGAAATAACTGACATAGGTGAGTTCGTTCGTTTTACGAACGATGGCTGAACAAGCAGCAGAAAATGAATTGAGTTTCTTGGCTTTGGTTTGTGACGTCCTCAAAAGGTATGCCTAATTGTAATACTATTTCTATCTTATTGCACTTTATCGTACCATAGCCTTTGATGGTGTATGGAGTTGCTTTGAAAGACGATCGAGGCTTAACAGACGCCAGAACAGAGAGAACAAGCAGTTTAAGACAACGAAGCTGATCGTAAAATATTTTGCATCGGATTGCTAATAATCAACAAAAAACAAGGAAAGGGAGACATAAATCGCACTTTTGACTTTGTTTTAGTAGACAAAAAACGTTTTAAGCTTTCTATGGATAATAACAAATTACGGTTTACCTATGTGTATGAAGCCCGCGTAGCTCAGTCGGTAGAGCATCAGACTTTTAATCTGAGGGTCTAGGGTTCGAGTCCCTACGTGGGCGAAAAATTTTTTTCCCAGTCACAAAATTTCCATTTGAAATCATCTTCAAAGTTTTTTTCCATTTTGAAATATCAGTAGATGTTTAGTTTTCTTTTGTTACCTAATGGTATTCTGAATGTCATATTCCTGAAAATATGGGATCTATCTTTAATTCTATGAATGTTCGTTGGGACGACTTTTTTTAACAAATTAAAACTTTGCAAAACCAGTCAACATAGAGTTGCACAAATGATACCTTGCTCTTTTACTAAAAGTTAACATAACCAAGCTAGCATAAATGCAAAAAGTTTCTAGATTAGGTCACTTGAATGATTGAAATCAAGTCATTTAAAGCCGATTTTTTATGCAATCTTGAAAAGCATCTTCTTTCTTATTGCTCTTATGGGGGGAAAATGTGCAGGTAAAGATTAATAAAACATACTGATTCTTACAAATTACATACAGAATAAAAGCTTAACACATGGAGATTTTCCCATGGACTATGAAGCAGCATACAGATTTACATACCATTTTAGACTAAAAAATAATTAAACCCTTTTAACTTCAACATCAGACCACTTTTCATGTTTAATTCTGTACAATATCTATCAAATGAAAGAAGCCATTTCACCTAATTTGACCTCTTTGACCTTTATCTAAGGACATGTGTTTAATGTTTTATTGATCTGTTGATTTTGACCAATGTTATCAGGCTTTGTCAAAATCTATTTGAATTGACTTTTGTGATTTTTTTTTCCTTCTGTTTAGTATTGAAAAAGAATCGCACGATGTGTCACAGAAGATGACAGACCTGAAGAGTCAATTACAGAGAGCACGAGAATGCGTTGAAAAAATGCCTGGAATTCAATACAGCAAAACAGAGCAGCTAAAACAGATTGATGTCCTTCGTAACCAACTAGCCGTCAAGACAGAATTACTTCAGAAGTACAAACACATGCAAACATTTGATTTATCTCAGTAAAGTTATCAGCATCAAGGATCACCTACCAATGTCGGCATACATCAACACTGCATCAATAGACATAATTTAGTATGTTAGATCTTCTCATTAGATGTGATCACAGCACCATTTTTTAAACATACTTATTTTGATACCATTGTATATATATTTTTACTGTTTTGATTTTTTTTTTTTTTTTTTTTGTTACTTTGAGTACAAATCTTAGATTGGTATATTTTTGTGGGGGGAAAAAAGAAACATTCAGATGTCTGACATTAAAAAAGATGATGTGCAGAAGCATCCAATCTTTCACAAAGACCCCGAACAGTGGATGCAGTACATCAATAAAGAAGTTTCAGTTGTGACAGAAGATGGATCGGAGTGGTCAGGATGGGTATATACAATAGACCCTGTCTCAGAAAGCATTGTTCTATTCATGTTTGAAGAAGATAGAACCAAACTAGAGATAGTTATGGGCCATGCTATCAGAACAATTGATATTCTCAACAGTGAGACACAGACTCACAAAGATAAGTTAGACCAACTCTTCAGAACGTTTGAACAGGAAAGTTTCACAGAGGAAGAGATAGAAAGACGAAGACATGTTCTTAAATTATGGCTTGTGAAGAATCTTCTTCCAGTCACTGCTACAGGAAACAATGGTGAAGTTCTGTCCATATCTGATGCTGTATTCATTGAGCCTCCATATGGACCCGACAACTGTCGTAGTACCAATGAGATCATTCTTGGAAGGATTCAGGGCCTTATCAAGAACATGCCAGCAGACCATGAAAACTGGTGACTTTTTAATCATTATTTTCACAAGCACCAGATTTTGTAGCTGTCTTACTTGATAATAAAATAAAACATTTTTCTCTAATTCATGTAGTTATACATAGTACTTGTTTATTTACATGTAAATGTATGGTAAATATTGTGACCTGGTGGATAATACTTGCAGATTGTATAACAAAAAAGCAAATAGTCTTTTTACATATGTATTTATACTTTGTAAAAAGGCATATTCTTAAAGTGTTGTCACTCACTGTTAGTCTGCTGTTCTCGCCCCATGCCCCAAATGACATACTAATAATACATAGTCTTGTCTAATCACACAAATTGGATGTTTTATATGAGAAATACGGCTATTATACGTCACAAATAGCAGAAATTTTAAACATTGCAATCATGATACTAAAATAACTATTGCTATTATGCTAAACAGCTGGAGTTCCAACTATAGCATATGAATGTATATGAATAATAAGACATTTTCCACATAAAGAACATAAGGTTCATTGTGTCTAGTGCCAAAATTTCGGACAAAACTAAACCAAGACCATGTTTTATAACATGCTGCCCCAAACCAGTCTTTCACACCACCTTTTCGTGATACCAGACTAGTCAGCTGCTGAAGGGCTGAGATAGTGGACGAAAAAACCATTGTAATAACAAGACCAGCCATGTAGCACAGACAGCGCCAGTGACCTAAGGTCAAACTGTTAGTCTGTCTGTTATCAATGATGGTCCCCTCGAGGTCGATACAACAAATCTTAGCCCCCTCCCTGCAAATCCACCAGATACAATGTCTGAGACGATTCACAATAACTATTTTAGGTATGGAGGCCTGAAGATACTTACAAAATTAATAAAAATGGACGATTTACTTACAAAGTGATATTTTCATCCTGTAAAACACCCTGATATACGATCACAGCTTAATGGTCGAGAAATTTTGAATCAAGTTGCTTCGTAGACGACAGAAAAATCATGGACCCTTAATTGTATCATATACTCTGTATAATGTTTTATTTCTATTAAAGAGAAATAGATATGCACATATTACATAAAATCTAAGGACATATAACTGCTTGGAGATTCAATTTATAGAATATTTAAAAACCTCTGTAATTTGTAATGACGGTAAATGCAAGAACATGATAGTTCAATGCTTAAGAAGTTTCCTTTCTGTGCCAATATAGTAGCAATATGTTTATTTAAAACAAAGTTTTCAATACTAGAGTATGGATTGTTAGTATGATGCTGAATAATTTATCACTTTTGAAGATCAGGCATAATACCAAATCATTCTGGGATGTAGAAATTTGGCGGATTGGTGGTCGCAGTAGGAATTTGGGGGGGGGGGGGGAAGAAAAAAAGTCATTTTGTAAGAGTTTGGGAGATTACAAAAAGACACACCAGTGAATAGCACTTTTCAATGACATAAATTTGGATTTCTGTAGAGCAAAATGATAGATTTAAATGTAGCAAACAGCTTGTAGGACTCGTCAGTGATGCTAAAGGCCTAAAATTTTAAACCTATTTGGCATTTGAGGAAAACCAAAGTAGTTGAGAAGAAATATTAAAATCTTAATGGGGAGGTGCATTAGCCCCATAATTCAATGAATTATATCTAAAAATTTTAGAGACTGAATACATTGGCAAGTAAAAAAAAACAAAATTCATGGAAGTAGATAAGGAAGAATCTGAAAACTGTTCTTGAGTTTATAACCAACAAACAAACATACAGTTTGCATTTGACTTTTTTGATGTACCAAAGCACCTGACTTCTGATGATGATGATAATAGTTTATCGTCTCTGTGACTCTGCCCGTCGCCGGGCATTGTCCAATCGACATGTGTCGATTCTCTGGCGACGTGAGGGGGTGCTCCCCTAATGGGTTGGAGTCGTCTGGGTATTAACTGGTCTGTAATTTGGATACTACTTCTTAGTCTAAAGGTTATCTTGTGGTGATGTGTCTGGATTTCAGGCAGTGGAGGGGGTCCTCGTCTTCTTTTCCTGCCGAATCTCCAGACTGCCTTACTATGATTATTAATTTTTGATCATGGGAAATTTAGAAGTCCTTTCGAAAGAGAATAAAAATGACATTAGGCAGAATGTTGTTATGTTTAATTTGGATTTATACAGGCTCATGGGCAGCGTTAGGTGCCTACTCTTATTATCAATAACCACAGGAGGATCTTTTTTGTGCGAGGTTGGACAATTCTCACACAGGCCTCCATTTAAAGTCCTGTCTGCTGGACTATGATTAGTTGTTAGTTGCTGCTGGTGTGAAAATTACTACTTTACGTCCCATCTGCTTAACCTTCCGACCACAGTACAAGTAAACTGCTCTGCTTTCCAAAATGTCTGTCGTTTCTCTAATTCCATTCTGTCCCTTCAACATACATTGTTTCACCTTACCGACTTGCATCTATTTGTGCTAATGTGCTTATTTTTAAAAGGGGTTAGTGACGTTGAAGACGATATGTTATGTTGGAGTAGAAAGCGGTATGTTAGTGTAAGGTTTTTCAAGATGGATAGCAGGATTCAATACTCGGGGTGTGGGTGGGGGATTAGGTTGTGTTATGTCTTTATAAGTTGTACCTTGTTAGTACTAAAATTTTTTTTTTTTTTGACTGAGAAGATAGATGTATAGAAGACTGAGAAATAAATATGTAATAATTTCTGCTTATTGTACGGCTATGAGTCCTATTGTGTTTATTAGAATAACTATCTGGGTTTAAAGGGTTCAGATATCTGAGTTACTGCTACTTTATATCTGATTTTGGGTTGTATGTGTTTAGATAGTGTGTACTTGTCTTCGATGTTATGTATGTTGTGTTCCTTTAGGTTAGTTTTCTATTTCTCGTGCGAGAGTTTTCTGTGGTGTTTATGCTGTCTTATTTGTCTTGTGAATGGCGGGTGGGGGACAGATAAGTATGTTTATGGGGTTGTTTTGTCTTGTGAATGGCGGGTGGGGGACAGATTAGTATGTTTAAGGGGTTGTTTTGTCTTGGGAATGGCGGGTGGGGGACAGATTAGTATGTTTATGGGGTTGTTTTGTCTTGGGATTGGCGGGTGGGGGACAGATTAGTATGTTTATGGGGTTGTTTTGTCTTGGGAATGGCGGGTGGGGGACAGATTAGTATGTTTATGGGGTTGTTTTGTCTTGGGAATGGCAGGTGGGGGACAGATTAGTATGTTTATGGGGTTGTTTTGTTTTCTTGTGTATTTTGGTGAATATGTTTGTTGTTTGGTTTGTATATGCATTTATTGGGATTGTGTTTAGTCATACTGCCCTTCGTCCAGCGTTGAATAAATTGCTCTGTATAAAGACTTATCGAAAGCTATTTATCCCCTTTTTCCTACCTAACTGGGTTCCAGAAGCTACCAGTCAGTTACAAAGCCTGAATCCAACTGATCATCAGTCCATGACCGTTGTATCCTGAGGTTCCATGCTGGATGTATGACCTTGCAGTTGAGTAGTTGTGCAGATATAAATAGAAAACATGTAATCAAACATGAAAATTCGTCATGAATCCTAAATATAGGAATTTCCAGGAGAAACCCCCATCTATTAATAGTAATCCATTAGATATAAACAGAAAACAAATCAATGCACTATCCTCAGTATTCACGGCACAGGATATCAGCCATCCGAAGGCGGATTTAATCTGTAAGTATATTATATCTGTAAATTTACTGATAATACCTTATGATTGTGTTTAAAATCGAATTGTATTGTGCTGTATAGGTAACTGTGCAATAAACGATTCGTGAATCCTAAATATAGGAATTTCCAGGAGAAACCCCCATCTATTAATAGTAATCCATTAGATATAAACAGAAAACAAATCAATGCACTATCCTCAGTATTAACGGCACAGGATATCAGCCATCCGAAGGTGGATTTAATCTGTAAGTATATTATATCTGTAAATTTACTGATAATACCTTATGATTGTGTTTAAAATCGAATTGAATCGTGCTGTATAGGTAACTGTGCAATAAACGATTCGTTGTCGTGTGCTGTAACACTACAATTGATCACGAGTATAAATTTTTAGATCTTTGAATGACTAGTACAGTTTAAGCAAGATTTAATATTAGTGTTTATCACATTTTGTAAATGTTGTTGGGATTAAACGCGGTAAATAACAAGAAACCAACAGGCATACTAACAAACTTCAAACACGTGCGAATACATATCGCACAAGGAATAGATTATACGGAGGACTTTCTCTCATGGTGACCACTGGCGTAGGCAAGTGGGGGGAAGGGGTGGGGCAACCAGTATTATTGTGTCGTTATTTTCCTTCAAAATACGCTCAAAATGCAGAAAATGGAGCCAAAATTTTCAAAATTTTCTGGGGGAGGACCCCCCAACCCTCGCCAAAGCTTCGCGCCTTTGGCGCTCGCGACGCACGGCTCGGCTTCGCCGGCGTTGCCAGATTTTTGTCCCCCACCCCCAACTTTAGATCCTGGCTACGCCACTTATGGTGACCTATATTCTAATACCTTTCATTCTGGGTCGTGCATCATGCGTCCGTAAACAACTTTACACTTTTGACGGATCCGCTTTCAATAAAATTTTGCAGAAACCTTCCCTGGCCTGAGATGAACCTGAGATGAACCAAATGTCAAATTGACTCAGATTTTCAAAAATATTTTTCTCAATATCCATAAATAGTAGAATCAATGACTTTTCATTAATGGAAGGTCCTTTACCTAAATTGTGAATTTCATGGCCCCAGGGTCTCATATTATAGGAAAAACTATATTTTTGAGCATAATTTGTTTAATTTCCATTAGAAATATTTAAACTTGGTTAGAATTATGAGTGAAGGATAATGGCTTAATGGTATGCCCATTTTGATCCAGACTGACCCCCCCTGGGACTGATGGGCGGGGCCAAAAGGGGCCAAATTGACTTAAAAAAAAAAAAAAAAAGACCCAGATATGGTATAATCAGGGACGTGATATATACGTCCCTGGTATAATCAAATGCTCTCCATAGATGGAAGCAACTTAAGGTGACCAAAATGAGTCTATTACTTCCTGGGGAGAAAATATCCTTTTCAACTTAACTGTAAAAAAAAAAAAAAAAAATAGAAAAAAATTGCATTTTAGTATAACTTTGGTTATTTCCCATTTGAAATAACTTTATCAGAATTATCAGTATAGAATGACAGATTTGATGTTAAGCATGTATTGACACTGTCTATATTCAGTGTCACATTTCTGTGTTGTCACTTGATAACTATCCTCTAACCTTTATATTCAATATTGCTTATCCCAGGTGACCGTCAAGGCCGCAAGGCCTCTTGTTAGAATTAAATATGGTCTTCATTTTGGGATAGTTTTTATACTAGGTAGGGAGAGACACTTGAAGTTGTACAGAGATGGTAAAGGCGATGTTCTGTAAATCCATACATTAAAAAATCCATTTGCAGTATCTGAATTAAACCCATACTTCGTCTACATTTGAAGCTTTAAAACAGCCAGCAGTTGCAGGAAAGTGATCTCTCCGAAAACGGCTTGTCACATGGTCATATATGTGTACTTACATTGTTCTTGTTCAAAGTTTTCAGTGTAAAACTTGTCCCTCTTTTCATTCTTTTTAAGTATGAATTACACTTTTATAATCATGATGGGGTCCTAAGATTACAGGTAATAGAGGAGAATACAGTAATCTCCCCTGTGTGTTCATTTATGAGTCATTGTCATAGAGAGTGGGAGAGAAGTATGCTTACGTATGTGCGAGTATGTGTGTGTATAGGGATAGGTGTGTAGGTGTATGGGATTGTGTACGAGCAGGTGTACCCTGATGTATTGTCAGTTGTGTCCACTAAGGTGTGGCAATTTCCGGAAATGTCTCACTGTTTCACGGATGTTGTACAACACAAAATCATTTTGAAACCGGATGCAAAACCTAAGCACCAGCGTCCTTATCGTTTACCTCCGGACAAAAGAGAAGTTCTTCGGCATCAGCTGGATGAGCTCCTGGAACAGGGAATCATTGCCCCTGTTAGTGAAGCAGAAAAAAATCATCATAACAAGTCCAGTTGTATTAGTCACAAAGAGAGCACAGAGCAGTCAACCAAACAAACCAATCACAAGGCAGTCTAGCTTATCTCAATTCAGGTTCTGTGTTGACTTTCGCAACCTTAATTCTCAAACACAAACATTTCAATATCAGATACCCAACTTGAAAGAATTGACAGAATCATTTTCAAATCAACATCCTCAGTACTTTACTTCAATTGATTTAAGTTCAGGCTTTTTCCAAATGCCTCTTGATCGAGACAGTTCCAAATTCACTGCTTTCAATACCTGTTTTGGAACATTCCAATTCCGTCGTCTGCCTATGGGTCTGAGCTCAGCACCAAGTACATTTCAATTGCTTATGGATAAAGTGCTTAGAGGACTAACATTCAAATCCTGTTTATACTATCTGGATGACATCTTAATAACTTCTGCAACTTTTGAACAACATCTGAGGGATATTTCTGAAGTATTTCAGAGACTTCAATCTGCTGGATTGAAATTAGGGCCAAATAAATGCTCATTTGCACAAGAGTCTTGCATATTTTTAGGACACAAAATTTCTAAGGATGGAATTTCACCACCTCCAGATCGGGTACAGGCAATCAAAGATTTCTCTCCTCCAACAAATCTCAAAGGTTTGAGAAGACTTCTAGGGATGTTCAATTGGTTCCGGAAATTTATTCCGAATTATAGTACAGTTGCGGAACCACTACTACGCTTGACAAGGAAGGGGATCACGTTTCGATGGACATCATTACAAGAGGATGCTTTAACACACTTGAAGGACTTGCTTGTAAATTCAGATGTCCTTGCCTTTCCCAACTACAATATACCATTTCATCTTGCAGTTGACACGTCTTCTCAGGGAATAGGATATATGTTGTACAAGTGTTATCCCAGCGAGTCGAACACATCGGATTCTGTCAAGCGGATTGTCCGTTTTGGATCAAAATCCTTGAATCGTTATCAGCGTTCGTATGGGCCTACAAAGTTAGAGCTTTTGGGCATGGTGACAGCAATATTGGATTGTAAGTCTTATGTCCAAGGAAGACACTTCTTTGTAGAGTGTGACCACCAGGCACTTAGGCCACTGTTTCAAAAACAGATGAAAGGGGCAATCTATGAACGATGGGTTGCGATACTCCAACAATTCAACTTCACATTACAGTATAAGCCAGCCACAGAGATGGTAGTGCCAGATGCACTATCCCGCTGTGTAGAGGAACATTCAGCTTGCCCAATCCAAAGTCCTGCTGAGGATGATCCGTTCTTTCCTTATGCAGATGACAATGCAGGAGATATTCACTTGCCCGGAGGACATCGTCTTTGTGATTTGATGAGAGCCCACTTATCTTCAAGTCAGTGCTATGACCAGGTGAACAATATACAATCAGCCCGTCTACAATCACCTGTTTTGGTTATTCCCTCGAGACCAGCCCTTGGTCACGATGAAGATGATGGGTATGATGGTGATTCTGAGGACCAGAATCAAACTAAATCTGGCAAACGACGAAGAACACAGTATCTTCGGCCACCCCAACTTTGAAAAAGCATTCATCTACTTGTGAGTCGAGAAACATGCCATCCGGAGATAGCGGTACTTTGGTTCCGAAGAACAATATTCCTTTCCAAACCGACTGTAAACATCACTCCCAGATGGATTTTGGTTGTGAAGTAAGTGACATGCAGGTTGCCGGACATGATTTACAGTCCCATAGGACAATGCCTAATCCTGAGGATAATCATATTACATTTACAGCAACTACAAAGGAAGATGTTTCGGAAATTGGACAGTTTGCCTTAACCACACAAGATGAGGTGACAGATGTTGACCATTTCATGGTATCAACAGACATTGATTCACCACCTGGCGACAACATTTCAAAGCAGAAGGCTATAAAAAACTTACAGGAGGTCAATTTTCAGAAAGAAAATATATGCAACCTTCAACGGAGTGACCCTACCTTTGGGCCAATAATAGCCTATCTGGAGAACCAGGAATTGCCAGCATCTCAAAAAGAGTGTCGGGAAATTCTTCTGGAATGGTCAGATTATATTCTATTAGATGGAATACTCTTTCATTCACGTATTGCTAAAAGCAAACGGACCAAGTCACTAAAACAATACCAGCTAGCTCTACCACAAGCAATGGTCGGACATGTTCTTCGCCTTTATCATGACTCTACTATGGGAGGACATGGTGGTATCCAACATACCATCGATACTATTAAGGAAAACTATTACTTTCCAAAACTATCTGTTACGGTAACAGAGTATGTACGCTCTTGTCATCAGTGTCAAGCACGCAAGATTACGAAAGTTCATACCAAGGCTGGAATAGTGATGTATCCTACTCCTGCAAAACCTTTTGAAGTTTGGAAAATTGATTTATACGGACCCATACCACGTTCACAAAGAGGAAATATTTACATCTTTACTGCGGTAGACAGTAAGTTCTTATTTGCTCTTCCAATTTCAGCGAAAGATGCCATCTCTGTATCGGAGGGATTATATGTTCTGACCACCACATATGGAGCATGTAGGACGCTCATTTCTGACCAGGGTACAGAATTTATGTCCCGGTGTACGGCTGAAGTTTGTAGATTACTGGATGTAAAACAGGATTTCACTCCCAGTTTTGCACACCATTGTTTGGGCTCTGTTGAAAGAACCCATCGCACTCTAGCTGAAAGGCTCACCCCGTTCTTCAAGAAAGGACATCAATGGGACAATGTCTTATCATCAATAATATTTTCGATGAACAGTACAGTGAATAGTACACTGGGCTATTCACCATTCGAAATAGTCTATGGAGAAAGACTACGTTTCCCATTGTCAAACCATGTTACTGCAAGCAATTTCCAAGAGCTTCCCAAAGATGTTCATGCATTTATTGCAAATCTTACCAAACGTCTTGAAATTATTCGCAAAGAATCCAAAGACAATGCTATCAAAGCAAAGATAACTCTACAAGACCGGATCAATGCAAGGGCTAAACCTTTGGACATCAGTCCAGGAGATTTTGTATACATGGCTCATGACCCTACTGGTCCCCGACAAAAGCTGCAAGATCGATATGTGGGACCTTTTGAGGTTTTGAACTTACCGAGTCCACATTTAGTATCTTTGCGCAACAAGGAGACAAACAAGATTCTCTCCAGACCTGTGCGTATTAATAGACTCAAGATGGCCTTCATTCGTACAACGGATCCGGTCACATTCTTTGCAAATGATCCAGAGCTTGAAGACAATACTGACCACATCTCCTGTAAGTCTGATAGCCAGAATACTGAGAGTCCAGACCAAATTCATCATTGCAAGCCTACTCATTCAGAATCACATGCTGATTCCCATGGCAATATTTCTTTTGATCACAAACAATCAATACCATCTCTGCGCGCTTCTTTTGCGTCCAAACTGTCCAAACGTCGTTCCTTACCTGCCCTTAGTGCCCAGTCTACAAATCACAGGTCAACAGATGCTAGTGATCTTTCTGTTGAGCCCACCGGCCACAGATCATTTCAAATCAAGTCACTGGCAAAGTCAACAGACGGGATAGTCGGGAATAGTACTGAACTTCCAGTTCTTCCCAGACAAAAACGTAATATCCGGAAACCTGTGCGATTCCGTGATCATGACCACATCAACCCTGATGATTTATCATCCAGCGGTTCTGGAAAAGCACAGCGTGTATTAGCGAAAAGACGCAATGGTGCAGGTTTTGAGTATCTGAAAGGCGAGCCAGCACAAAATGCTATTTGGCTCCCTTTAATTGATTTGGCTGTCAATGCCAGACAAGGACTCAAGCCCCGTCCTCCACCCCTTGTTTAAATTACATATGTGTGTATACATTACTATGCGTTTGAATATATAATACTGACATTGTACATGTGTATTCATCGACATAATTCTACCTTTCAATTTTGAATTTTAAGCGTTCAATTATTGTTGCATAGATTTAATAGTTTCACCCTTCAACATATTATAATTTGCATGTTCATATGCACATTTATTCAAACCGCATTATGAAAGATTGTTTATGTTTTTTTTACACCGAGTACCTTACTCATTATAAATGTTTCTAGTCGGGATATATATAGTTGGTATACAATATACTGATACACTAATCATCCTAGATCATTCTAGTCAGGATATAGTTCTCGTACAAATTCCTATACCAGTCTTGTTTTTTTTTAATATCTCATTTTCATAACCAGCTGTCTTGCAGCAAATACTGATGATTCTATTCACAGTCGCAAGTACATGTTGTTAGTAACTGATAGCACCAGCAGCCCAGTCTTTCTTCTCAATTTGTTGACTATTCACAAAGTTGCAAAGCACTATGGTCAACCATATTGTTGTATGATTGTTTTGTATTTAATTGTATCAGATTTTGAACAGAATTTAGATAGAGTTCCTTTTCAAATATATCTTGTATTCTGTGTACGATAAAATTTCTCCAGACCAGTTATCGAAATTCACGGGGTTCATTTTTTAGAGGGGGGCATGTAATGTTACTGGTGTGCTGGTCTAGGGAAATTTGTTATCGATTATATTTCTTAACGGTCTAAGGAAAGACAACTCTCATTCCGGATATTTTAGTTCAAATCAAATTAGAATGTACCTTATCCGGGTTCACCGGACCCGTTTTGTTTTTAGTGAGAGTTGGAATAAAAAAAGAAAGAGGGAAACGTTTTTGCTCCGTGTGATTCTTGAATTGAAATATCTACCGCTAATTTCCCTAAAATAACTCGAATTATTACACTATGATACTTCCAACAACCTAGAGTATCCTAGACCAACCAAAACCTCCGGTGTACTATGGTTCGGTGACAGGAAGTTAAATATAATTCACACAAAGTTACGTCATCAATGTAGCTTTTTGAAATATGATTCAATTTTATGTAAATCTGGCAGATGGCGCCAAATGCTCATGCGGAAACTCTTGTGAAATTGCTTTTTTTTCTTTGATCGTCCCAATTATGAACAACAGAGACGATTGCTTTGTAGCCTTGTTTTCGAATTCAGACTTACTTCCTTCAGGAAATGAAAATCTGCCGGTGGACACTTGTTTAATGATAATCTAGCAATATATTTTGAATTACAGTAAGTCTGATTTGTTTTCTTAGCTCGGAGATCAATGTAACATTCCAGTATGTATTTAATTATAAGCTTAGATACATGCCCTCTTTCTTTGCCAAATTCTGTAAGTGTAATTTGTGTTGGGAGAGGGCTTAAATAATGTTGAAGTAACTTGTGCCCAATTCTGTTGCTGATGATTGTGACAATAATGTTTGAGTCACACACCACACATATGATTCGGTTTTATCAGTATTCATGAAACCTTCATTACAGAAATGAAGATGTATTGGTTGGTACTATGTCCATTGTTAACGCATGGCCTGGCTGAGGCGCATGACCTGGCAGGAGATAAGTCACGTGCTGACACGCATGACCTGGCAAGAGGTAAGTCACGTTCATTGGGATGGTTAGTTGAGTTCAATCGAATACAATTACCTCGAATGGATTATTCTTTTCCGCTCAAATACGAATATCATTTTTAACTGGGTTTAAAATGTGTAATGCTGTAAATATGGACAGGATTTATTTACGATAAGTTGTGAATATGCATTTTTTTCATTACATTTATGGATAATAGTTAGTATTCCAAAGAGCCATGTATGCTGAAGAAATATCAGAAAACAGTTAAAAACCGTTAAGATACCAAACAAATATTCCACCTTATTCCCACAATCGCTTATCCTTTTATCCGCATTTCGATGTGTATTCTCAATTTGCTGAATTTGGCCTTACCAACAAGGCATGTCTCCACTTACGTAAGCGTGATTTATGACACGTAGAAAGGCGGACCGCTGCACACTTACGGTAGAAAATGAAGTTGTCGTTCCTTACCAGTCAACCTACCTGTGTTTGTTGGGTATTGCAATGCATCCTGGGAGGGATTTTGCGTTATTTTAAACCTATTTTATGTTTACTTCCTCTAGTTGACAGACTTTCCCGCGAAATTAAAATAAACTGCTTTGTCATTCCATCAGTTGTCAGGATCCACTATTAAGGAGCATTAGTAAAGAAAAAAAATCAAAATGTATATATAAGAAATATTTAGTCTGTTTTGTTGGTTGTTATTTACAAATGTGTAAACGTGACACGTTACAAGCGTCAGAAAGCGCATCAAAAATGCATATAAAATATTATTGATACGTTAAAATTCGACTCTGTGTGTGTTTGAGGGTGTGTGCGGGGGAGGGAGAGATTCAATATTTCTCGAAATATGTTGATATTTTTTTTTTACTATGTTGATTACAAAAAAGCGACATTTTTCTAATTTCAGATCCAAACCAATGTTTGTTCATTTCAAGTACCCAGACAATAGAAAGTTCTGAGAAAATAAGATCTCTAAAAGGTAAACTTTGTTTTTGATAAATATTTGAGAATTCAACTTAATGAATGATACAATTATATGTATAAGCAAACCTTTTTAATGGATGTTCCCGTTAATCAATGCTTAGAAATATTCTTTACTTAAATACCGCAAAGTTTGCATTTTAAAAGCTTTTTTCAATCTTTTAGCTTGAAGGCACTACTTAAGTTTTCAGTTTCATGGCAATGTTTAAAATTTGTCTATATGTCGTCTTGTTTGCATTTTAGATTCCAAGATGTGCTTCAAAAGATCTTGTGGTGAGAAGATGAACACTTAGGATTTCCATAACACCATAATACTCATTAGCATACTTTGCAAACACATTAAAACACCTTTCCTGAAATTACACCAAACATTCCAATCCAATTGTGTTACTTTCCTAAATCACGAGATGTATTTTGCGAAATGAAGCCCACCCAGAAATGGTTTTATCAACTGAAACAATTTACTGGTATTTATGTAATATAAGAAAATTTGGAAAACAATGCTTTTTATAGGAAAGACGTTGACAAAATAATTCAAAATTCAAATTCACAGAAGAGTTTATATATGTGTGATTATATGAAATAATAACATTTTCACGAAGAACAAGAAGCAAATGTGTTTTTCAAAATTCAAAGATAAACGAAGTGATAAAAGAAATGTTTCCTTTGTGTGGCATTTTGCGTCTTAAATCAATGATTCTTTTATGTTAAACAACACTATACTCTATGTGGAAGTTCAAATAGGAAATTTGATTTTGATTAAATACAGATGAATCTCTTTTATCTCGAACTTGTATATCTTGAAGACCCTGTTTCTATTCAAGTATTTTGTCGATCCCCGCCGAGTTCGAGATAACGAGGTTCGACTGTACCGTCTTATCACACAAAAATGGTATATTAAATAATATAATTTTCGGTATCTGTTTTATTACAACTACATATCATACGTCATATTCCATATTTGAACTTCAAAACACAGTATAACGTCTAACTCCATTATCTGATACTGGAATTAAACTGGTCTTCAAATTAAACGAGTTCGAAATTATGAGGTTAGAATTTACAGATATAAATTACCTTCGGCCAATATTCTATAACTTTACAAATAATTTTAGATCAAGCCCGACAATAAGTCAATATCTTTTTTGTTTTGTTTTTTTAACATTTCTAATTCTTATCATTTTGATACCCTTGGAAATATCAGAATACCGTATGATAAAACAGTGCATCAAGCTCTCCACATTTCATCCGATGTTTGTATATTTTTAACAGACCTTAACGATGAAGAAATTAGCTGCGACTCCTTAGGCGGCCATGTATGTGTGAATCTAGCATGTTTATGTGAAAAAAGGATTCCATTGGACGGGATGGAATGCTATCTAAAAAACTTAACTGAATATTGTACGTATTTGACACAGCAGGTGCATACTTCCGACGAGGTCATTATACTATTAATCCCACATGCAGATAATAACATTATTGTTTATTTTCATATTCATTGTAAAATACATACATTTATCTACAAATTGTTCGGAATACTTGATAATATTGTTATGCCTTGTTACAAAGGTCTGATTGTTCGAAACACTTCTGATCGTTGACCCTGGAAACAAATATTGCAAATCTGGTAATTGCGTTGTTTTTCGCATGAAGAGTTTTGGATCGGCCAATACTGTAATTTAATGGTTAAAAAGAATATATAAACACCTCACCTCACTTATATCTCTAATTGTTGTATTCATACTTTAATTCCAGGTTGTCAACATTATAGTCAATCGTGTTTTAATCGAGGCCAACTAAACAAATCTGACTGTAGCTCTTTCCGATGTACATGTCCACAAGGTACGTAGAAGACATTCACACAGTACCATATGAAGTCGAACCTCGCTATCTCGATATCGTTGAGCCATGAGAAAACTTCTAGATAACAGAGTATTTTATTTAAGAGGGTTCAAATGTTATGTATAAAGTTGGCCAGGGAATTGAACAGGGTCTTCGAGTTATACGAAATCGAGATAACGAGGCTCGTCTGTGTATGTTCATTATACAAACATGTGACTATGATGTGTTTGACACACATGTAGTACTCTTTATTTTACCCGACACTTCATTCTTAACTCAAAGTAAAGCTCGCAATAAAGATATTATTGAAATTCATTATATATACTTCATTCTACCTGAAGCTGTATTCTTAACTCGTAAGTAAATTTAACAATAAAGGTATTATTTAAAATTCATCTTATATTCTTTATTTTACCTGAAGCTGTATTCCAGATGTAAAGCATGCAACTAAAGTATTATTGAAATTCATTATACATTATCCGACACTATGTTTATACTTAGAATTAAAGTTCACGATAAAAATGCTATTGAAAGAAGGATTTATTAACAGGTAATTTTTAGGTCCTTTATCTTACCAGGAAATGATTTGATTCTCAGAGCTGAAGCTCATGATCTCGCGATTTTTGAAAAATTTATTCCTTCTATATACAAATACCTACATTATAATTTGCATTATTATTTCAAATTTGAATATTTGAACATAAAATCGTATTAATTATATACATTTTGATAATGTGTGATTAATGATGAGTATGTAATGCCGTTCTGATTGGTGTGTTTAGGTTATAGTTTATAAGATAGATGAGATATAATAAAATGTGCGAGAACAAACAACTCTTCTAGGTTTGATGTTTAATCCATCCTCCAGTGAGGGTAAAAGATTCGTGGTGTATCTCTACGTATTGCACTTTGCAAACATCCGAAAACCGCGCTGAACAAACAGCGTCAAACATGGCGGCTCATAACAATGCTTTCTACGGCGATACTAAATGCCGGAGTCGACTGGTGGAACCGATTGACTTTCCGGATACATCACAGTGACCAGTGCAATATGATACTCATAGTTGATAAAACCAAAATGTATCTTCTTCAGAAAACTACAAAATTAGCGAATTATATCATGGCATTTAATTTATCTTACAGTACGTGGATATTACATCTATAAGGGAGAACGGTGTGAGAATATTTCAGTGAGTATCTGATGATTAATAAGTTTAACAACATAAACTTAAGTATTATTGATGGCCTCCTTTTAATTCAGTGTTAATCTAGTTTGTATTCACAGCAGTATTGATGCAATCTGGACTAAAGGACAATCGCATGACGTCATGTTTGCTTCATGTTCACCGACGTTACGTCAACGCTTTGCACGTCGGCTAAGATAATACGCATTGTAGCCTTACATAAATCATTCAGATGATATATATATATATATATATATATATATAAACTTTTCTTGAAGGTAAACAAACAGCATAATTTTTTTTTTAATTTAAAAATTGATAAAGTATCAAAAATGTAAATATGATCATTGACGGACGTCATTTTATTTATCTGTCACATATATTGCGTTCTTATTGACAATAAATGTAGTATGACCGACGTTCATTTGTTAAATAAATACATTTTGAATAGACGCCTGATATGTCATGTGTTGAAATTCTTTACATTTCCAAAAAAAATCTTTGTTAATCCAGGTTATCAGAGTGTGTATGAGAGTGGACACCGTCAACAAAAGCTACAGAAGCTGTGATGATGAAAACGATATCACAACGAAGTGTAGAATTGCTAACGACAACTTGGAATGTGGACCGGCTCTTCGCAACATTACAGGTAAGGAAAGGAGTAGTTTCTTAAGATAATGGAATCTTTGAAATGCAAAAATTGAAAATCAGGCATTCATATGGATACACACCTTCCAGTGGCTGACTTGTTTTTGTTTTCAAATTTGGCTGAATGCATCTAAAAGAGAGAGCTCATGAAAACAGATCGCAAAGACTTCGCAAAGTCCTTCAATTTCACTTTTAGATAAATGATGACATCTCGTCTTAAAATAACAAAAAGTTTATTGACCATTTCATCATATATACCCACCAGAATTGGAACACAGAACAGTTAAAGACTCTTACCAGTCGCTTACTTTGATCATTTCTTGCAACAGCTTTCCACCAAGCTGTATGATAAAAATGAATTTTTCATTTCTGGATTGCAAAACATCCCCAGCATCCCCAAACTACGATGTAAACATAACCTTCGCCGCGTGGTTATTATAGGTCAATGCCTAATTAAACAACGTGGTTCCCGGTTCCCATTTGCCATGGTAAATTAGTAAAGCAATACAGTTGTCACTGGCGTCAACACCAGGCAGGGTTCCAACAGGGTCGTGTTTTAACACTAAACACAATTTTATATTTTAATAACCCGGGTATTTCAAAACTGTTCCCACTTATCACTGTTCATTATTTTGATTATTGTTTCCATGTCGAGTGACACATGCGCCGAAAAGCATTGTGCTGGCGCAATTTAAACTCATAAATAAATAGAAAATATGGTCACACGTTCAATTAGGATAAATTGTCAAAAGCAAGATTTGCAAGGGAACCCTTGAAAAAGTACAAGAATAAGACTTGATGTTGCGGATGATTCAGCGTCTATTTATTGACATTGGATTCACCTCAGTATTATACCCTTTGTTTATTTATTTTGTCCCTAGGAATTGATTCCCTGAAGAAGTGTAAGATAACTTACAACACTAAGACTTCACCCAGACTTCCAAGGTACGGAAAGTCGTTTTTCTGCTTATTACGTTTCTGATTTATCTGATATAACGAAGGTGAAGTCAGTATTATGATGTAATTACAAAAATATAATAATGAATGGAACATAATGGCTACAATACCAATTTGTTGAAGTTCTCGAGGGTAGTTTTACGTCTTAAATAATTCCCTAAATAATACAAGAAACGTATTTCCTAATAATTGATTGAGTCCTGAAGCATACATATTTTGATTTATATATCATATCATTTGAATTATATTTTGCAAAAATACCATACCACCATTCAGATTGTTGTATGGTTTTTGTATAGTTAAATGGTTATGACTTCCAATATGTATATATATTTTTTGAAACCGAAGTGCGAAATAGATCCATTTTAATGCACATAATCCCACTTGGTTTTGCAGTGGTGTCGGTAATGATGTTCCCAGTATTTGGTTGCTTTTTCTTGCTTGGCTGTTTGTGTATTTGGTATTGTAATTGTGATGAAAAGGTAAGCAAATTCTATCGGTAGTTTACATGCTTCAACATTAAGAAGAAAAGCCTTTTCAATAATCGTTATAGTACAGCATAACCCCATGACATTGCTTTCAATCCTGTGTATCACACTTTGCAAATAGGGTACATATCAATGACATTCAGTGTTCGTTTGACCGTTCATATCTTCATCCACAGCAGAAAGCTTCTGCTATACCCAGTGGCCACCAAAAAGGTAGAAAAGATATATCAAGGACCCTTCACTGTCACATCACAGTGTTATAATATCGATGTTTACATCTGATTTGAATTTGATGGTCAAGACTAAGGGTCACAGGTTACACTTTTGAAATGTACAGAACGTCTCATTCACTTAGTATTCACACCATACTATGGTGTCATTAATTTATTAATTTGACTAAATTTTGGTGGTCATTGGTCAAGGTTATATGTTCCAATATCGCCTTCAAAATAAAGCATTTGTGTACAAGATAACTCATAAACATCCCAATGGATTTAGCTGATATTCATGCCAATTTCTACCATTGATTAGATTTTGGTGCTTGTTGGTCAAGATAACGGCTTCAATGCTGTCATTTGACCATTTACGAAATAATATTTCAATTTCTAATCAAGTTGGACTCATGGAAACTACCGAATTTAGCCTGTTTCATTTGCCCATGAATTTGACCAGATGAACTTTGATCTTAACGTATAAATATATCCTTTACAGACTCTGTAAGGTGTAGTGTTGACATTCATAAATAAATGCATATTCGTATGCCATGATTCATGTAGTAATTGTTGTGTGTGGTGGTGGTGAGTGTGTATGGGAAGAGGGACGTGAATCAAGAGGTGAGGGACTGTGTGTGATGGTGTGTGTTGGAAGAGGGACGTGAATCGAGAGGTGACGGACTGTATGTGATAGTGAGTGTGTGTGTGGGAAGAGGGACTTGAGTCGAGAGGTGAGGGATTGTGTGTGATGGTGAATGTATGTGGGAAGAGGGATGTGAGTCGAGAGGTGATGGATTGTGTGTGATGGTGAATGTTTGTGGGAAGAGGGATGTGGTGGTGAGTGTGTGGGAAGAGGGACGTTAGTCGAAAAGTGAGGGACCGGGTATGATTGTGAATGTGTGTGGGAAGATGGATGTGTGTCGAGAGGTGAGGGATTGTGTGTGATTGTGAATGTGTGTGGGAAGGGGGATGTGGTGGTGAGTGTGTGTGGGAAGAGGGACGTTAGTAAATAAGTGAGGGACTGCGTGTGATGGTGAATGTGTGTGGGAAGAGGGATGTGAGTCGAGAGGTGAGGGACCGGGTGTGATTGTGAATGTGTGTGGGAAGATGGATGTGAGTCGAGAGGTGAGGGACTGTGTGTATGATGGTGAATGTGTGTGGGAAGAGGGATGTGGTGGTGAGTATGTTTGGGAAGAGGGACGTTAGTGGAGAAGTGAGGGACTGCGTGTGATGGTGAATGTGTGTGGGAAGAGGAATGTGAGTCGAGAGGTGAGGGACTGTGTGTGATGGTGAATGTGTGTGGGAAGAGGGATGTGGTGGTGAGTATGTGTGGGAAGAGGGACGTTAGTCAAGAAGTGAGGGACTGCGTGTGATGGTGAATGTGTGTGGGAAGAGGGATGTGAGTCGAGAGGTGAGGGACCGGGTGTGATTGTGAAAGTGTGTGGGAAGATGGATGTGAGTCGAGAGGTGAGGGACTGTGTGTATGATGGTGAATGTGTGTGGGAAGAGGGATGTGGTGGTGAGTGTGTGTGGGAAGAGGGACGTTAGTCGAGAAGTGAGGGACTGCGTGTGATGGTGAATGTGTGTGGGAAGAGGAATGTGAGTCGAGAGGTGAGGGACTGTGTGCGATGGTGAATGTGTGTGGGAATAGGGATGTGGTGGTGAGTGTGTGTAAGTAAAGGTATGGGTTTGTGATGTTAATGATAATTAATATTACTTCAGATGCTTACGATATACTCGTATCTCTATCAATAATCAATAGTAATGCTGAATTTTAGTTTTTTAAATAATTGTACATATATTTGTTAATATAGTTCAATTGTGCAACATAAATCAATACATTCCACATGTTTTTCTGTTCGCTGAAAGGAGAGCTTATAGTCGTCGTTTTGTCCGTCCGTCCTTCCGTCCATCATACTTTTGTCCGGAGCAAAAAAAAAAAAGAGTTATCAACATAAAACTTCCTTCTGTAGACAGACCTCAACAAGGTGAAGAGCAGTGCACAAAAACACTATTTTTTGCATAATTCAGGAGTTATTGGCCCTTGTTATTTTCTATTTTTTATATTTTATTGTTACATTTTGTCCCAATCGGGGAGCTGTCTCTGTATAAAATATGCGTTTCAAAATTAAATTATTACAATATATCAATTGATTATCAATATAACTAATTTGAATAAGTAAATCCCTGTACATTGTATCCTTCAACAACTTTTTATCTATTATTTTCCATTTTTCTCCGCCGAAAGTGGACAGACTGGTTCCGGACCGCCCAACGCAACAAGAATGGTAACATCGTGCAGCCGACTCGCCAGAATGTCATTACGTGGGTCAGCACAGCTTGGGCTAGTGTCACCGAGGAGACCATCATCGGCTCTTTTCTCAGCTGCGGGATCTCCAATTCACTGTCCGGATCCGAGAACTCACTTCAATCCCGACGACTTATCGAGGAAGTAGGTGTCAGCGGTGCGGATACAGACATTGAGGAGGACATTGATGGTATCAGGGCCGATGGTATTCTGTTTGATTCAGAGGAATCCGACGACGAGACTCTTCTGTTCGGTGGTTTCGATCGCTCATGAACGTGTTGACTCATTGACAGTGCTATGGTGATTTTGTTGTATTTGTTTGATTTACTTGTTATGGAATTAATACAAACCTGTTTTTATATACTGGACAAAATAAGTTAAGGATCATAAATTGTGACCATAATATCTTTAAAAATTCAAATCATGTATTGCCGGTAATTGCACTCGTAGTTTCTCCAATATGTACCTAAAGTCATGTCAAAGGTGAAAGCACGTGCATCTGAAGGTCTTGCCGTTCCGCTCTAGTTAACTATGGTGGTGTGAAAAACTGACTGGTCTATTACTACAGAGGAATCTTGCAGGTTTTGATTCTGTTACTTCTAAGCTAAAAAAAGTTGAATTTGGAAACATTTAATCAATTTGTAACGAAAACTTGAAAAACTAATCATGCGAAGACATTTAAATGATATGGAAGCCGCGCGAGCTATAGGGCTCCTTCAAGCTGGTCAAACTCAACGAAATGTGGCGGCACAGCTTCATGTTTCTCAGAGCGTGATTAGTAGGCTATGGAATCGCTATCAACAGACAAATAACGTCCGTCAACGCCCCAGATCTGGACGACCACGCTGTACGACAGCCCGACAGGACAGATTCATTTGCATCACGGCACGACATCAGCGGTTTTTGAGTGCTCCTGTCTTGAATCTTCAGTTTCAGCGTGCTACAAATCTAAGGATTTCATCCCAGACAATGAGAAACAGACTCCATGCCTCTAATTTACGAGCTAGAAGACCAGCAGTCCGACCAATTTTATCCAGAGGTCATCGACAATCCAGACATCAATGGGCCACTCATCATTTGAATTGGCAATTACGTCATTGGAGAAATGTTATGTTCACAGATGAGTCTAGGTTTTGTGTTGACTTCCATGACGGTAGGAGGAGGGTATGGAGAACCCAAGGAGAGCGCTATGCAGACTGCTGTGTTGTCCAGCATGATCGCTTTGGTGGTGGGTCAGTGATGGTTTGGGCAGGGATCCGTGTTGACTTCCATACAGACCTCTACATCATAGACAATGGATCTTGAACAGCTGTTCGATACAGGGACGAGATTCTACACCCTATAGTAAGGCCCATTGCAGGAGTTGTTGGCCATGATTTTATTCTGATGGATGATAATGCTCGTCCTCACCGTGCTCGTGTGGTCAACGACTATCTTCAACGTGAAGCAATCGTTCGCATGGACTGGCCAAGTCGTTCTCCTGATCTGAACCCTATCGAGCATGCTTGGGACACCTTGCAACGCCGGGTTTCAGCTCGACCTAATCCGCCACAGAACCGCCAACAGCTTATGATTGCTCTGCAAGAGGAATGGCAGCGCATCCCACAGATCAGCCACCGACGACTAATAAGGAGCATGTGCAGACGTTGCAGGGCAGTTATTGATGTCAACGGAGGTCATACTGCCTATTAAACTGCCAATTGCAGTTTGATGAGTTTTCCTTGTCTACATGATTAACTTGCTCTACTTCCTCTTACACTTTGATTTCAAGGGTGCTGTTACTCAGGGTTATCTGCTCTTGGTAGCAATTACCACAAATGAATTTGTTTTGTGTAATTAAAGACTAAAATGAATGTTCTGTCATTAAAATTTAAAATATAATCATATTATTATTTGTATGTAAAACTGCACTGTTTCAAGTTTATGATCCTTAACTTATTTTGTTCAGTATATATATTTCTTCTTGTTTTTATTTTAATCATCCAGTAACCAGTCTTCGTTCGCCTGAATAGATTTGTTCATCGATAACAGTAGTGAAAAATCCAAGATGGCGACCGAGGATATCGGTCAGGTATAGGCTCTTATCCGGCAATAAGCCCACCCCCTACTCTTTACTCAATTTCATGCACAGGCCCCCTGGGCTTATTGGCGGAGAAATACGGTACATCTTTATGAAACTTTGTCAAATATACTACGTAGTTTTTCTGATGGCAATCTTTAATCTATTTAAATATAGTCCCGACAACCGTTGCGAGGTAAACAGTGCAGCCCGGAATCTTGAATATCCATGGGCGTTTCTTCAGTGGATGCACCGAAATGTATTGGAGACTCCTGTAAAGTTAGAGTGGTACTATGGACTTGCTTTGTACCCATCAGCGCAACGGTCTGGACTTTAAGACATGTAACTGGATAAAATACTTTTTTTTTAATCTGACATACATGTATATGTGGACATATATTTAGCACACCTGACCCAAAGGGCCAAGTGAGCTTATGCCATAGCGCGGCGTCCGTCGTCCATCCGTCCGTCGTCCCGTCAAGTTAAACTTGTTGAGATAAAAGTGTAAAAATTCGATTGTTTGGAGATGACAGTAATGGCCCACAGTGTATTAATTCAAATTATACTAATCAAATAATGTACTGTTATATTGGCTGCTAGCCTGAATTATCTGTAACGTAAGCACTAGGAAATCTCAGAAAGATGCTTAAAATATGCTCAATTGTGCTCATCTGTGCTTAACAACCATTACCATGTACATCTGGTGCTACTCATAGAAAAATGCTCCAAAGATGCTTAAAATATGCTCAAGTGTGCTCATCTGTGCTTAACAACCATTACTATGTACATCTGCTGCTACTCATAGAAAAATGCTCAAAAGATGCTTAAAATATGCTCAGTTGTGCTCATCTGTGCTTAACAACCATTACTATGTACATCTGGTGCTACTCATAGAAAAATGCTCAAAAGATGCTTAAAATATACTCAATTGTGCTCATCTGTGCTTAACAACCATTACTATGTACATCTGGTGCTACTCATAGAAAAATGCTCAAAAGATGCTCGCAAATGCTCAATGATGCTTAACATGCTTAGGGATGCCAAAAACTTTCCCCACAGTGGAGAGAATGTAAATTGTGTCGACGGCCTGAAGAGATCAGGAGTTGTCGTTATTGAAAGTGTTCAGAAACTGAGTTAACTGCACCTTGAGAACATCTGCTTAAAATTATAAATTTTATGGTGCTTCCCAGAACTTTAAACATTCCGGACAAACAACCATGTGAAGACAAGGACTGTCATGACCCATTATTTTATGGGAAGCACATATTTGTAATATGGAATACTTACTGTTAAAGTTTGGCAATAATTAATTGCTGACACTCCAGGAGTTGCACCAAAGTAGGAAAAATCCGATTATACAGTTGTGACTCTTAACTAAATTACAATTGAGCAAGACTTTATATAAGTGACATTTAGATACCAACCAATTTGTCTTTAGTAGATTGTAATTTAAAATTGTACAAGCAATTATGGTAATAAAGACAAGACTGGGCCGAGTCATCTGGAAATTGAGATTATGTGTAATAATGCCAATATTTTTGTATTGTAATTTTGAACTTCATGCTATAGGGGCCTGCCTCCATTGGGTATTATTATCAAATGGTGAAATTTTGTCGTATGTAAAGACATGAAATGTCATTCAAATTTATTGGCCAGTGAGGAAATGATGGTACTTAATCAAATGCAATAGTTCATTATTACTGTCTTGTGAGTCGAGTTGGATGTGGCAATTGATAGCACATGGCTAATCTTTTAATTTCAAGTTCAGTTCCGAGAAGTTTGGGCGGCTTTGGCCCACCTGGTTTGTCCTGTGGACCACGTGTTGTTTCAACAGCAATCCATGTGGAACCATCGTTGGCCAGCCTGGTGATACATTACCATTATGGGTGACAAACCTTAACTAGGTCAAAGGTCAAGGTCGGGGTTTGTCTTTCACTGGTGGAATTGTGGCAAGACATCATGAGATAGAAAGGATCAGAGGTAAAGGAGTCAAGGTCACTAGGTCAAAGGTTGATATTGCCGAGTAAAGGTCAAGGTCGGGGTTTATGTCGTTCACTGGTGGAATTGTAAGACATCCTGAGAGGAAATGAGTCATAGTCAGTCGAGTCCAAGGTCATTGGACCAAAGGTCAATATTACCAGGACAAAGGCCATTACTTAACATAGAAATATTTTACGGATTTTTAAACATTAAGTTGAGTCTCGGCTACGTGGTCGTAGCCTGCCCGGGTGGTTGGGGGGTGTGTAGCGACGCGTGGGTCGCTTCGTGTCGTTTTCCGGAATTTAGTACAACCCTGTCCGAGGAAGCGAGGAACTCAGGGAGAAAAAGTGACGTCACAGCCTCTTCTTTTGGAGGCCAAGATACGATAGGTCGGTATTGAAATTCGGGCAGGGTAATCTGTTAGATTTTTGTGTTGTCAGCGCCCATCTCTTCCCTAAAATGTTATAAAATGGTTTACTAAACATCAGTTGCCACCTACAACCCGATAGGTTTGATTTCCGACCGTGTATTTTGGTATATTTTTCGACTTATGCGGACTTAAGTTTTGGCTGGAACCTCGTGTCGTGATTGAGGGGAACGTTCGCTAGCTGTTGAAATTTTGTTAAATAGTGGATAATTCGAGAATTGGTATTCTCGGGGAGTAGTTTTCTCTCGTTCGGTGAGGCTGATTTTGTGTGCCCCCCTCGCCAAGACGAACGTAGGAGAAGGCGGTAGTGTTGAGTTGGACTTTGTAAATTTGGAGTCGGTCACGTGGCGGAGATTTGTCCGTTCGGCGAGGTTTGAGACTCGCTCCGAGGAACGGTGTCAGATTCCGTGGGCCGAGAGTTAATTTAGCTAGAGAATTTCGACAACCACGACATTGGTTCCTGCCTGACAGTTAGTTTAGGTAAAAGTTTGTTTATTTCAGGTGGCTTCTGTAAATTGTTAGGGTTAATTAAAAACACTCACTGAGCCGGTTAAATGTCTTTCATGCTAAACTTTACTCTTGTAAAATATATAATAAATTGTTGAATCTGTTTTAATTCTTCTCGTCATTATTGCCAGTGCTTGGTCGAAAATTGTTTGTGAAATCTGCAAGCGAAAGCGGCAGTCGAACCCATTGGGCCCTTTTATTATTGTAACTACAGAGGTGACGTCCGCGGTGCGGCCACTAGGGGGTCGTGAGACGTCGTTCGTTACACTGGTATAGGCGCCAACGGTACTTTAACCGGAGCACATGGTAAGTCTAGACATTTATTTTGTTTCCAAAACCTCAGTTTATTTGTTAGGGTATTTTTAGTCTATTGAATTCGTTTTTTGTTTATCGTGGCATGATATATTTCTGAAGCTCAATTACAGGTAGATCTATATACATTAACAGAAACAGAGT